GTGTTTCGTCCTCTGAGCTGGATGCTGTTTTGGTTTTGAAGCTTTCATTGATCTTCTTCTGAATGACATCAACAGCACAAACTCAAGATAAAAGTGGAGTATTCGAATTTCTCCAAGTTTGACCTGTAGCTTGTTCTGCTAACCTCAATCTTGATTGGTTGATATTGACCCTAAACCTGTCGTTGTTTGCACCTTTGTTTTGATTGTATCTCCTTTTTGATCTGTTTCTTTATCCTATGTCAGCTATGATTTTTCTGATTGGTTGATAAATTGAGTCAATATCGATGTGTTTCTTGATTGGTGATTGACAAACGAACAGGATCACTTCAATCAATCGTATACAGGCCAAAGGATAAAATGACAAAGGAATGAAAACCAAATATCGTCTACAAAATAAATTGATCAGACTGTTAGAAACACTACATAGGACAAAGTGGACGGTCTCTTCAGCTTCGTTTACGTGAACACCAATTACCGGTCAAACGCCACGACAATTCTTCGCTCATATCAGTACACAACGACAATTATGGACATACATTAGATTGGAACAATGTGAAAATACTGGATAGGTGGAGAATAAAGAACACTAAAAAATTCTTAGAAGCTTGGCATTCAGGTCAATCAGCTATTTACAAACACATCTATATTGACTCAATTAATCAACCAATCAGAAAAATCATAGGTGACATAAGATCAAGAAACAGATCAAAAAGGGGATACAATCAAAACAAAGGTGCAAACAAAGACTGGTTTAAGATGAACAGCAACCAATCAAGACAGAGGTTAGCAGAATTAGCTACAGGTCAAACGTGGAGAAATCCGAACAATTCACTTCTCTGCCTGAAGTTTGTGCTGATGATGTTGTTCAGAAGAACAATGAAAGCTTCAAAACCAACATATCCGGTTAAGAGGACGAAACACCACCACAAAGCTGAATTGAGTGCCAGTGAGTAGCAATCAACGTTGTCGAGGCAGTCAGTGGTCGAGCATTCGTAACATATATCCCAACCACCTCAAGTGGTGAGATTTCAATACTTCATCTTTTGATTTGCTATTCCTATCTAGTACTCGTTTCCTAACGAAATCATTGCTTAGTCGGTTTTCTCAGCATACACGAGCAATGCTACGAAGACATCCGTGATCGAATATACATATATATATAAAGTTGTTCTTAGTGCTGATTAAATTCAACCGACTAAGTTGTAATTTGACCATTAATTAAAGTGTTTATGTTGTGGTGCCCCCACTTATATTCCAGTTCGCTTACATCTAATTTGGTTGAGCCCCTTCGATTAATTTATTTAACCAAGCCGTTTGTGTAACAATAACTTATATGTACCACTCGCTCTTACTATTGTCTAGTTTGCATAAGCTCACATGACTTGTCTCGCTTGCTTTTGACCTTGCCATCTATTCGTCGCTTTTACTCATGTGTGCCTATTTCGCCTGTCGCATGTCTGTCTAATTATATTTGTCTGACTATATATTCTTAGTCTTGCTCTGGGAGTTGGCTCACTGGCCTTCTTTCACCACATCGCTTCATCCGTTCATTCGCCTATTCACTCGCTTGCCTGCCCACAGGCGGTCGCATGACAATTTAATCTTTTAGCGCCTGTAGTCTGCAGTTCCATTTGTGGTGTGTCAAAAATAAACGTATTCAACACTTTGTGTTCACCTTCTGATTTATAAACCGTCAGACGCTAGTTAGTAACGATTGTATGGACGAGCTAATTGCATATCTTAAGAACACGTCAAAATCGGCCACCATAATGTTTCTGATGAAAGGTGATAGTTAGATTAAATGAACAGGAAGCTCTGGATTTGTGTTGTGTTATACAAAAAGCATATCATCACTCGTAACTAATCTATCGTATAAGAAAATAAGTAGGTAAGATGCTTACAAATACAAGTTTCTTCTAAATTGTAACTCACAACGATCTATTTTTCAATTAATGTGCTGTGTATACATTCTAGAGGATTTTTTGTCACTGATTGTAAAATATGTTATTGAACTTTTCGTGTATTTTGTTAGACATAATAACATTAAAAAACTGTATGCAATACTGATGCTTGTAGAAAGTATCTCAATGCTTGATCTGGTTGACAAGTCACACATATTGATTAACCTCTAGTCAAATAATGTAAAGCCAAAATGTAGACGTTTATCTTTATGTAAAACAGTGTATTTTATTCCAACTAAGCTAGAGAGTTCAGATAAACACTCACTTATGTGAAACAATTTAAAACAATTAGTAATCCCTTTTCATAAATTTTGATAGAACAGTGAGAAGACGTAATTGATCTGAAAAATGTTATGATTTATTTGCGCACTATCCATTTCGAACAATCTGGTCACACATTTACAACTTGTCAAGGCATTTTATGTGAAGATTCATAAAACGTCAATTAAATCAAAGTTCAAGTAGTAGATAAAAGGTGATTATTGTAAATGAAGGAGAGAGAAAATTTACGTAATATGAAAAGAATAAAAGAAAGGGTAGGAAATTGTCACATTATTTCCCCTAGGCTTAAAGATTACCAGGGTAAATTCAAGATTATAACAAATTGTTTCTGTACATATAAGGGGGGTTTTAATTTACGAATAGCCAAGGCCCTCCATAAACCTCAAAATTCATCCTTCAACATTTCTATACAATGCTTTGAAAGCTGTCTTCATATCAATCTTATGTGCCCTGTCTCAATTATGTTGTTTGCGATCGATGAACATGGTTTCCAATTTCCTACGCTAATCGGCTCACCTGACGTTAACTGATTCTGAAGCCATTTACTTGTGGTGTGTCGATTTACTGCGTGTTCTTAATCTCGGTAATTAGCTCGTCTAGACAATCGTTACTAACTAGCGTCTGACGGTTTATAAATCAGATGGTGAACTCGTAGTGATGAATACGTTTATTTAAGACACACCACAAATCGAAGGGGAGAAGCAATGTGGAGAAAGCTAATGAGCCAAGTCCTAGAAATAGAGCATGACTAAGAGTATATAGTCAGACAAAAATAAGACAGACATGTGATCAACGAGATAGGCATGTACACACATGAATAAAAGTGACGAATGGTTGACAAGGTCAAATGACAAGTGGAACACGTCATGTGAGCTCATACCAACTAGACAATAATAAGAACGAATGGTACACATAAATTGTTGCAATACAAATGGCTTGGTTCAAAATAAATTAATCGAAAGGGCTTAACCAAGTTAGATGTAAGCGAACCGAAGTATATGTGGAGGCACTACACACTTATGCGCAATTGGTAGAAGATTTGATTGAATTCCGTTGTGAATATTTTGGCAGAAATTTAATAAGTCATAGCGATCGATATTCTATCGAATCTGCCTAAACTTGTATCATAATCGTTTTATCGAAGCTATGCCCACATTGAATGCTTATATATTGTCAATTAAATCTGATCATATTTTCCAATCAACATGATCAACAATGGAATAAACAGAATCATTTCAAATTGTTTTCGATCAAGTGAATAGTGTTGATACATTCAGTTGATTTGTGAAAATTATTAAGTTAGCAGATCATCTTTATTGACATATGGTTTTTCTATGAGTAACGAAACTCCCTACTGTGAACTTTCAATTTAATCTACCAACTGTATAATACAAACTGTATACTGCTCTGTGACAGGCAATTGTCTCATTTGAAGAAATCAAACTTCTAGGGTGTGAAGCACTGTTGAGCGAAGACAATGGATAAGGTGTCGCACGATTGGTGATTGATTGAGCTTGGACATGAACAGCATTAGATACCGGTTCAGTAGTCGACAGTTTAAGCATTTGCGAGCAAAACTGTTGGATCTGGGTTAGGTTCTCGCAAGCAGGGTTCGAAAACGCGTTATTCAGTTGAACACGGTTTCAAATAGTGGTCTATGTAGGATTTAATTTGTCCTACAGATGTAATTCCAAAAAACGTAAATGCAAATACCGCCGCTGACAGATTCCAGAGTAAAATCAGACTAATAAAAACTTGGGTTTAAACTGTATCTGTTTTTTAAGCGAAAAAAACGGTTAAATTAGTACAATAAATCAGAAAATTACAATTATCAAGCAAGATGAGCAAACTTACCGGACAGTATAGAGTGTCTTTAGAAAATGAATAAAAAACATGAGTCACATCTACATGAAATGAAATAATAACATCCTTCAATCGATAGGTCATTCACAACAAAGAAAGTTTATAGACCGGACAAACTAGATAACGTAGTGAGCGCTTAACCAATCTGATTGGTTAGTTATGACATAACTACAATTAGTTATAAAATAACTAACAGTCTAACGATGATAGATTCATAATTTCAGTGAAGCTCAACAACCTCCACAAGCCTATGTTATACTCATCAACTGATATACTTGGAACTATTACTAGTTCACCTTAGTCGGTAAACGAAAGCGAAGACAAATGATTCAATGACACGATAGGCTACTCTAATCAGAACGTTCCAAGGCCCTACTAAGTAAAGGAAGAAGACTTGATAAGACGTAGAAAGTGTATTCTACAAGCACCCAGAAATATGACGTTTTCAAGCACACAGATCGAGTTTATTTATACATGAAAGAAACGTCCTTGGGAGAGCCACAAAAGTAGCCTACTAAAATAATACATCAACCAATAACAGCCTAAGATTTTGCGGGTGGGAAAAACTGATCACATCTAATAACTTGCATAATAGGACGAAATGGCTTTCTAGTTCTTTCAACGTTTGTGCAACATTGATAGATTCATGATTTCAATCAGACTTATCAATCGATACAGAATAATGAAAGCTCCACAACCAAAACATCCTGCTTTAAGAGTGAAACTCAACCACAATGATGCAAATATTTGAAAAGTATGTTTCATTTTTTAGAGAACAACGACAACAACACAAAAACTGACACTGATATTCTATCGATTATTCCGCTCTAGAATTTGATTGGACAGATGTAATAACACACTGTAACACTAACATATAAATTAATGTCTAGAATTTACTTTGGTAGATAATTGTTCAATTATTCATTTATGAGAAGATTTATTCACAAGTAAGTTGTTTAAATTTATATTCAGTGATATTTTTCTAAAATTATCCATCTATTTATAGTAAACTTGTTTGAGAAATTTGATCAAAGCGAATATAATCAACTTCTTCAATCACCGTCATTTCAATCTGTGAGTAGAATTCTGTAGTGTTCAAGATTTCCAATATAACTAATATTCTTTGAATGTAAACTCATTAAAATGTAGAATAGATATAAGCAGTTAGTATTATCACGATATATAAGGGTGTATATGTGAATAGGTAATGTTAGCCGACAGCTGGTACATTTTCAGTATGAACCCAATGAACAAACGATCAAGTGAATCGCGTTCAAATCTGTTGGTTAGTATGAACATTTTGTGAAGTTGACTTTCAGTATTCAATGTTCGATTTCACATGAAACAATGAAACTGTCTTATTCAATTGGTTGATTGATTTTCTCTGTTTTCTTTCTTTCCCGCCTCGACTTCACTGTAGACGATGGATTGGATCTATTTCATCAGTGTAATCATTTGTTTATTTCTGCTGAAACAATTCATCTCTCTACTATTGATTCTATTCAATTATACAATAGGAATAAGGTTATTTTCTAAAAGGAAACTATTAAAACATGCAGGTGAATGGGCAATTGTGACTGGTGCGACTGATGGAATTGGGAAAGCTTATGCAGAAGAATTGGCTAGTGATGGTTTGAAGATAATGTTAATTAGCAGGAATGCACAGAAACTTGAACGTGTAGCCGATGAGATTGAAGAGAAATACAATATAGAGACGAGAGTTGTAACAGCGGATTTTACAAATGTAAGTACGAGAGTATCTGTGTGTTAGTGTGCAGATTTATGTATGTGATTCTATACAGAGTAGTTTTTATCTCCTAAAACTTGAGTCAACCGGAGAAATCTTTTCATATTTATTTCTCAATCTTTCTATTTTGCTGAGAAAATTACTGAAATAATGAACTGGTCATTGTTAGATCATCATTAGTAACCTGAAAGCACTGAATGGCCGATTCGTCCGGTTATGGGAATTATTAATGAACAGTGTGCAACCACAATGCCTGCTCGCGGGAACCGAACCCAGGTTCTGCGGTCTCGCACACAAGCGCTTTACTGCTAGACCATTTAGCCAACGGACGACAAGGGAGCAGCGGTAATTAGTTTCATCAGTTTGAATTATATTCATTGACATAGTTTATATTTTACAACTAGCAGTAAACGTGCCTCACATTAACTTCATTTGCTACGGTACCCTCACTGCTCAAGGTTGCATAGTTCATCTGACAAACATTTTTATTATTTTCGGCATTTATCATTTGCATTTATTTCATAGTTTCCCGAAATTCATTGGTATACTGGCTGAGATTTACTATGCCCTATTGTAAAATAAAATGCACCACCTCTATTGATGTAACTTATTACTTCTCAGAAAACTGGCTATTTAACTTGGAAAATAATTATCTACATGTACTGATTCCTAAATTTGTCCTTGATCTATTTGAACACAAGCCTTGACTAGTTTATGAGAGAATGAGTCATGTTAGTGAAAGAAACCAGCCAATTATCACTCGTTTTCATTATTGATCGACTGTACATCTAAGTCAGTTAGTCACACAAACTATTCTCTAACTAACCAATCATCTGCAAACATCTCATACTCATCTATGCATTTTTTTCCTGCTTCTCAGGTTGATGTTTATGACAGGATCAAAGAAGCTATCGATCAATTATCATCAATTGCTTGTTTAGTAAATAATGTTGGAATGGGTCCGCCTAAATTAGACTATTTCGCTACCACGGATTACTTAACATTGAATTTTATCAAGGATATGATAATTTGTAATACTTTACCAATTGCTATAATGACACGTTTCATATTGCCGAAAATGTTGAAACAACACACATCAAATATGGCAATCATTAACATTGGATCATATTCTGGTAATAGATCCTGTCCATTTTTATCATTGTATTCTGGTACGAAAGCATTTGGGAATCAATTATCTCGATCAATATCTGATGAAAACTATGATAATCGTATAATTATACAAACTGTTTGTCCAATGTTTGTATCGACCTCTATGACTGATCATTACAAAGTGTCCTTTTTTATACCTGATGCAAAACAATATGCCTGCAGTGCATTAGATATGTTTGGTGTTGAAAATGAAACATTTGGTTATATTGGTCATGCAATTAATGCTTATCTTACTAGTTTCTTACCGAATTTTATTTGGAAACAAAGTTGGTTATTGATAAGATCATGGTTTCGTAAACACAAGAAACAGTATGATTAAAAGATGTACTTCATATTGAGCTATTTTGTCTAATCATATAACTTTACATATTTATTCAGTTAAAAAGTTTCGTTTATCATCTGTATTTCGTAAACCACTTTTAATTTTGTAAATGTGAAATATTGTCAGAGTTATTGTCTTTCTAAATTTGTGAAAATTTAAGCTCTTGTTTTTTTTCATATTGTAAAAATTGAATATTGAATTGATGAATTCATCTTTTCAAAAATTGAAAATAAATTAACAAAATTCTAATGTATTTAAACTATTTTTGGTGTAAATTCTTCTAGTAAACTTGATTGATTGACCGATTATTTTGACCTCTTTTTGATTTTCATATATTATTCATTTGTTTTAAATAAATGTTACTTGTTACATTGACCTGCTTTCTTATTTTTTCTATCATATAACTCCTGTTTTAAATGACCAAATCAATCAATAGTTGTTATAACGGTTGCTTACGATATTTCCGGCTAAATCTTATTGCTTAGTATTCTTGACACAAAACACTGGACAAGTAACACAAATCAGAACACGGTTGAACAGGAAGGATTGTATTCCAAAATAGCAATGAAAAGAGGCTGGAGGTGATGGCGAAAGCCAAGGCAAAAAGGCTTGAAAGCGAAGAAGGCTAGAAGGCGAAGATAAATACAATGCTAGTCTATTTATAGCCTTTACATGAGAAAACTTCTGGAACAAAATTCACGTGATCGACTGGACTGGTTTTGACCAATCAGCATGCAGCTAATAAGACGAGAATTTTCTATCCTGTTCTCCAAGCTTCGATCAGGCGCTGATTGGACAGGAAATTAGCCAGTCAGCGCGTAGTGACGTAATCATGCTTTAAATCCATCTATGTCCCACTAACAATAGTTATACGATGATGATTTACTAGTGAGTAATTGAGAAATGTAAAAGAACACTCTAAGCCAACATTATCTAAGAGTGGAATATAAATCACATAAGATTTATAAGATAGATACATATGTATTCTAGTATTGAGGTTTACACTTGGTCTGCAACTCAATGCTATCAACTCCAGTCAGTCAGTCAGTCCAACAGTGTGCTGTCGCGGGTCTGAGGGTGGATGTCACTTCCAAACTGCCAACACTGTGGAAGGGTGTTTCTTGAAGAACATGAAAAGGAAGGTTGATTAGCCGTGGTCTTACAGACCTGGAAGCATGATGGCAGAAGCAAAAGGACAACTGCTTGAGGCAAGTCATACACGGCCTTTTGATGGGAACTATCTGAAGTGTTAGCTCCTTTCTTTTTCAAAGGTCCTACAGCTGGAGACTGAGATCCTTGAGGTAAGGTGAGGTGTGACATTTTGAGGGTCGATCTTTTCTAGCCTCTTCCTTCCTTGTGAGAAGGCAGCATCACTGTAGATGCTGGTTATCCGAGAGAAACACCTTACTGCTCTCACACCTCTCTACGGTCAGCAGTACGACTTCGACACCAGACCTTGAGTAGCAGCTTTTAGTCTCATTGCTCTCCAGTCGACCTGCCTGGCATCGTAAATCCTACAGGAACATATATTCCCACCAATATAGCTCGAACTGATCATCATGATAGGCACGCTCGACCACCACAACAAGGTATCAGCTACGATTGGGCCACTATCCATCACAAACATTACCGCATTATTGTGTACTAAGCTGGTGACTGCCGATAGCCATTAGACTGTGCAACAGAATTCAGTCTCATTGATATTTAAGACTGCAATAGATCAGTCTCAATTGACACGTGTGCTTCCACTGCAGATTGCTTCCATATAACCAATATGTTAAAAGAATTTTAACTAGTGATGGATAGTGACGAACTGTGTAGTCGAAGAAGGCAGTGTATTCAAGTGTCTGAGTGAATGCAAACTCTGGGATGCATTTGAATTCAGCTGAAGGGTCCCGAATAATCGCTATCCATTTTTGATCAGTAGGTCACTATTTTTGTACGTGATATGTGAGAGAAGACAACTAAGCATATTTTAGAGCTATATAAAGAAAATGTTCGTTCTTTAACAATACAAACTTATACCATTTTTTTTTCATCAACTTAGTTGTACTCGTTAAACAGATGTTTGTGGTAGACATTATATTCAATTTAACAAATAAACTTATAGTTAAAAGTAACACCACGTTTTTAAATCAAACGATTTTTTCTAAAGATATGCTGTGGAATGGCAAATAGTGGTAAGAGTTCACTCTTCCACTCGAAATGCTCACTTCTGGTCATGAGAATAAAGCTTAGCTCGACGCCTACTTGTGTCACAGATGAGATGACGAATATCTGACTCCCACTGCTTAGATCGGATTGGTGTTGATGTAACATTCATTCAGGAGAGTAAGGAAAACCTTGATTACAAGTAAGTGATGACATGAACGCCAGTATCTTGATAAAACGAATATCGTATGAATCTATGGTGGCCAATGTATCACTAGTATCGTGACGGTCGGTATCCAACGTGTTTTTAGACTTCATAATTTGCTCTTCGAGACAATAGTTACTAAACAGCACCTCGCGGTTTATAAATCAGAAGTCGAATACAAAGTGTGTTGAAAACGTTTATTTTGGCACATCGCAATTGGACTACAAACTAACAGGCATACGGAGTGATAGGCAAACAAGTTAACGAGTGAGCAAATTGGCGAATGAATTAATAAGATTAAAATGTACATATAAAAATATATAGGACAATCGCTGGCTGATTCATCGAAATATTGAAGAGGTTAACATTAAAGCGAATAGCATGAATATACGTGTAGGCGGTAAGCAATGTTCAGTTGTACCAGCTCATACAAACTAGACAATAGTAAAAGTCAATGGTACATATAAGTTGTTGCTACATAAATGGCTTGGTTAAATAAGTTAATCGAAAGGCCTTAACTAAATTAAATATAAGCGAACCCTAATATGTATGTAGAGACACTACAAATCTATAACTGGCCGCCGGTTACCATAGGACTGTATCAGAAGACCAGTCATGATTGGAGTTAGAGGTATATTTGTTGGTAATGTCGAGACATCGAAAGAATATCAAGATCCAAGCAAACGTTACAGGTTAGACTATCAAGGTAATGTGAACAATGTCAGGGTCACGTGATCCGGAAGATAATGTAGTTTTCGGTACAGACAAACAAAGAAGTACACTAAAACAATCACTGGCACAATTAGTTACAATAATGAATGTTATCTATTCGCCAATCGTGTTCTCTTCATAATACTATTCCACTAAAAACTCTTTACACTCTCAGCCGTACCAGAGCATGCGATTAGTAAAACAAATCTGGCTTATTCAATACATGACAAGATTTAATTTTCAACTTAGTAATTTAGTTTGGCAGTTTCTGAACTAGAATAGATTTATTTTTTCTGTCATGAAACTGTTATTACTAATTTTTCATAAACCAATCTTGATATTCATAACGTCTATTTGGATTCGTTAAGAATTTTACACCAATTAATTTCGTGGTTATCGCCCAATTTATTGATTTTTCTTATTCGATGAAAATTCTCGTATTCAATGTATCAATATCAAGTCTTATTTCAATTCATTTCATAATTTCAATTATTTCGTGCGGACAATTAAATTCCAATGCAATCTAATCAAAATTCACTAAATAAACAACATCCATCATTTGTAAAATCACCAGAAGAATTTCAAACACTTTTAGCTCAATGTCCATTTATGTCAATTATTCAATCGAAAACCAATAAAAATACTATACGCAAAAAGACTGATGCAAAATCTAAAAATGTACCGAAAAAATCAAACGATACAATCATTTCAAACAATCAATGTTCAATGAAATCAAGCGAGAATGCTGACAAAACAAATCAATCTCAAGGTTTGTTTATATATAAATGAAAACAGTTTCATTCTGTGTAAATTATAGTTTTAAAAGTTTATTGTATAACACAATAGTACAGTTATTATTATCATTTGGCTAAGTAAATGACAGATTATGAAATGTGTAAATTGTTACCTGATAAACGTTACGAATACATTTTGAAAAAAAAGTAGATTTTATTTTGAATCGATTTGAAATGATTTGGATGAACTGGTTATTGATCTTTGATCAGTCTTTATTGGTTTATGGGCGCATCCAATATGGATTTGTAAGTTAACATAGAATAGATAAGCTGTGAATACCAGTGGAATCAAGGAGTCAATTAATTAGTCAAGTTAATCACAGCGTAGAACTTCATACGTACGTACCTATGTCAGTTCAAGTTGCTACACCGCATTAACACAGAGACGCCACTGTCTGTTCAAATCTCATAGTAGCAGAGGTGGTAGAAGTATGAGTAGAAATGGAAAAGATTAGGGTTGGAAGATATTATTCAAGAAGTATAATTCAGTGAAATAAATTTTAAAAGACAAAGATAAAAGTGGTGAGGAATTCTGAAGATTAGAATTTGAGAGAACACAACGAGTGGATGCACCTGTACCATTGTAAACGATTCTGAGCCATGTCATTCAAGGTCTCTAACCGTTGGTGACTCTCATCTCGCGGACACCAACCAGGTAGCCTACATCTGCCAACATGACTCAGTCCACTTGTCAGTGACTTCATGTTTTGGTTTAGCCTCCCCCAACTTTCTTCCAACCTACTTCTACGTCGAGGCAGTCAGTGGTTGGGGGGCATTCGTAACACATGTTCCAACCACCTCAGCTAATGGAGTTTCAATACTTCATCTATTGATCTGCCATTCCTAATTGGTACTCTTTTCCTAACAACAGCATTGCTACTCGATTGTTCCAGGATACATGAGCAATGCTTTGAAGACATCTGTGATCGAATACTAGTAACCTACGAATATCTTCTACTCTTACCGATCATGTTTCGCATCCATATAGGAGAACAGAGCAACCTGCTGTACAGTACACTCGTCCTTTCGTTAGCAAACGGACATCTACCCTACGCCATAGTTGACTCAGGTTGGCAAAAACCAATCGAGCCTTCTGTGTCCGTGCTGAGATCTCGTCAGTCACCAGACCATCATCACTGATGAGAATCTCGAGATAAGTGTAATCAAGGATATGCATTTTGTTCAATTTGAGACTCGTCTTTGACTGGATGTACTAAAATCTCAGAGTTAATATTCACTCTAAAACTCGAATCTGGTACCAGTTTGCTTCCGATAAATAGGTATCTTGATTTCCTAGTTCAGTGGAAAAATTGATGGTGTTTGAGGCAAACGGCAGTGAATTCAAGTTTCGAAGTGAACATCAACATTGATTCACGTACATCCCGCTAAATCCAACTCCCAAATAGAATGAACTGGACGTTCTGGATTTCACTGACAAGACAAATTTTTATCTGTTCTACTTGTAGATGTTATTTTGTTATCGTGATAATGATGTCGAATAAATGAAGTCAGAATTTTCATATCTATAATTTACCTAGAATGAAGCTGTGGTATCCACCGAACTCATCTCACCTGGCTCTGAACGTTATGAAGAACGAAGTCAGCTTAAGCGCAGGCTGATAAAATGTCTACGCAACGATCGTGAACAGTGGTGGGTGACGAAAGCAAAAGCGATGGAAAAGGTAGCGGCAATAGATGTAGATGTAGACTTCCTGGTTGGGGTCCGCGAGATGGAAGTCATAGATAGTTAGAGACCTTGAATGATATGGCTCAAAATTGTTTGCAATGGTGCAGGTGCATCCACTCTTCGTGTTCTTTCTAATTCTAACCTTTTGAATTCCTCATAATCTCTATCTTTCTCCTTCTAAATTTATGTCACTGAATTATACTTCTTGAATCATATCTTCCCTCCCTAATCTTCTGCATTCCTTCGAATATTTCTACTTTCGCAATCACTCTTGGATTTGAACTGACAGTTGCGTCTCTGTGCTGATGTGATTTGGCATACTGAACTGATGTACTTACGAACGAAGTTCTGCATTGTATCTGTCTGTCTATAATTTACCAACTTATTTATACCTGATAACCCTCATGGAGCACGGTCTACCGACTAACAATATCTAACCAGATCTAACCTTTATTCTCCTTTCTAGTTATTGCCAAGATCTATTCATTCCATTGATTTTCGCTTCCGATTCACGGCGCAATATGTTTTCTGGTCATCCACCTTTTATTTTCACCTTATGGATTCCATATGAGGGTTAGGGTTGTTTCCACAATGTGTGTCCTATCCACTTCCATTTCTGTACTCTAAATTCTTTCTCTCACAGTAGGTTGTTGTTGATGGTGTCTGATCAACGGACCAGTAGTACTTGTGTATTCACTGGTAAAAAACACCCGTATCTTTTAAAAAACTAATGGCTTTTGTGGTTCTCCTTATTTCCGCTTCATATAATAGAACGGTATGGACGTGCGTTTCCCTTTTTTACATAAGCATCAGATCCGCCCGGTTTATTATTGATGCTACCCAGGTCGGTAAACATTTCTACCAATTGTGATTTTGTGGGTGCATACTGTATTACATCTAGGGATCGTAATTTCCCCCTCTGACTGTTAAAGTGCAACCGACTCTGAACGAAATCAACAACAATACAACTAGGAAAGCTTACATAATAAAAAATCTTAATTACAAGTAGTATTTACAACTACATGTAGAAACGATTTGTTTATTATGAGATATTGGTTATCCAAAGACCACTAGTGAATTAGATGACTAAAACTGATAGGTGTTAACTAGATGAACCAGAATATTTTTTAGGTGAGCCTATTGTTTTACGAAATATTATAGTGTCCTTGTTATGTTCGTCATTAGGTACACTTGAAGCTATTACGAGTTCACCTTAGTTGATAAACACGAACGAGACAATTACCAGCGTCCAGGTAGGTTACCTTGATCCGAAAACGGCAAAACAGAAGTCTTGATAAGCGTAGAAAGTGTATTCTACAAACACTCAGCCAGAACAATGCAATCAAGCACACAACTCTCGTTTATTTATACATCATAGAAACGTCCTTGGGACAGTCACAAAATTAGCACACTAAAATACACAGCAGCCAATCACAGCCATGGATTTTCTTGGTGAGAAATGAAATCTCAATGTCAACTGATCAGCCCATGCTCGCAAACGTGAAATCCAAGATAAGGCATTTATCAAGCGAGTTTTGGGGATCTAACATCCCCAACAGCCCTATTTATATTTGTTTATTTATCCGGCAAAAATAATCAAGTGTTATTAATCTATTAATCCTTTTTTTGTTATTAGTGTCCGTGTTTATTCACAAAGATTTCATCTTCAAATAAATTTCTACCTTAGTAAATGTGTATAATTTTTCGTTCTTTAATATTCACGACTGTAATCGATTACAGGGTTGATGTGCATTGAGCTGGTATTTAATGGTGTTAATGTTTAACTTCGATCGATTCGAAACGGTCTTGTGCAACCTGTCTACGGTTGTTTACGGTGAGCAATGATTCACATCTGAAGAGAGTTGAATACTACTGCTGACGACTTCTTACTAGAACTCGGAAACGATTCCTCACAAAGCTAGTCACTAATGAATCAGGTAATTTCCATTATAGGATTATGGAGAATGTTGAGTTTCTTTGTGAAATCATCAATCGATCAATGTTAGACCACCATTAGAAACCTAGAATCATTGGACGGCCGTTTCGTTCTGGTATTGGACTCATCAGCAGTATTCATTCACGACTCCTGCGTTTCGATTAGTCTGTATCGCTGTACATTCTTTCTTAGTGAATTGGGTTGATGAAGACGTTAGTTAATTTTTTTTAGCATAATAATATTGTGCCTAAAGATAGTATTCAGATTAAATGTTTCATCTTATTTGGGACTCGTCAGCCAGGTACACCTACAGCCTATTATTGATATTCTTACTGATTTTTGATTCAGTGCATATTGATTCAAGTAACAATAACAGTATTTAGTGAGCAAATGAATCCAGATAACTGATGCTGATAATAAGTAATAAATACTCGACCAGCAGGAATAGGAAAACTCACTATTACCCTTTATAAAATAACATGATGAATAATGGGTTTAAAGTGATCGATAAAAAGTCAAGTCTTTTAATGGATACAATTACATACAACACCTGATGATTTCCATGAGTGGATGAACTGTCCATTTTGAAATGCGTCATTTCTAGTCATAATAATTCAGATATACTAAATACTTGATCTATTCTCTGTAATTGCCATGACAAATCGTCATCCATCTCCGAGATCCAGTGAGACGTCGTAACCAGTGTAGTTCGACTCTCTTCGGATGTAGACAGTAACTGCCGAAAGCAGTGTATGAGGTTGCGCAAGACCGTGAATTGATCGAAGTTAGACTCTAACACCGTTAGACACCGTCTCGATGGTCCAGGGGTCAGGGTTGGAATCCTGCGGGGAGCAGGTGTGATGGATGCGCACTGCTGATGAGTCCCATACCAAGACGAAACGGCGGTCCAGTTCTTTTCAATTCCCTTAGAGTATCATTAACTACTAGAGATCAACTGTAAATCTATTTACTTGTCTTAAATTTGAAATTATACATCAACCTTACAATATGATCACATGTATAACTTTCACGTATCGCTGATAAAGTGTATTCTATTGTAAATTTAACTAGCAAATGTTTGTTTAATCCTTTTTTCTAACAGAAAACTCTTGTACACAAAAAGAAACTAGTGTAAAAATCTCCGAAATCAACCGTACCGAAGATTTCATAAAACAAACCAATGAAAATCCTATACAAAATCCATCTGATCAATTTATACAAAATACAAACTACTTAAATTCATTAAGTAATATAAAAAAATCCGCTTTATTTAAACAATTCAATCAATTATCAATTGATGAACAAAATGAAGAGAATGAATTACGTCAAAAACAATTAATTAAATTATCTGAATTGATTCAATCAAATCCACAAAAATATGGACAATTATCTTATGAAAATATACATGAACAATTAAAACATTTTTATTTATAAATAAAAGAATTTTTAAGTAGAACATTTAAGAAAACTACAATTTACAATTCATTTCAATCACACCTTAAATTTTACAATAATCATTGTAGTTAGATAATTATTATACAAATATATATATACATTCTTTTTAATTGAATTTGTAATTTTCTTAATTAAAATAATTATAGTTATTGTGTAAAGAAAGACTAATTAGTACGCCTAATTAAATTATTATTGATTTACAGGTGATTATTAACTTTTAACGACTAAGTTGTCAAGTTTCAATTTAAAAGTACATTGAACAATGTTTGTTTTTGTTAGTGGGAGGACATAGATGTGATTAAAGCATGACTACGTTGCTACGCGCTGATTGGCTAATTTCCAAACCAATCAGCGCTTGATCGATTCTTGGAGAACAGGGTAGAAGATTCTCGTACTGTTAGCTGCATGCTGATTGGCTAAATCGAATCCAGTCGATCACGTGAATTTCTATTCAGAAGCATTCTCATGTAAATGCTATAAATAGACTAACGTTGTATCGATTTTTTGCCTTCTTTGCCTTCGGCTCTTATTCCATTTAACCTTTTCTATTTGGAATATAATCTTTCCCTGTTCAACTGTGTTTTGATTCTTGGGAACTTGTCCAGTGTATTGTGGTCAAAGAATACTAAGCAATAGGATTTAGCTAGAAAGTATTCAAGCGACCGTTACAACATTTTTAGTATTATTTACTTACTTACTTACCTAGGCCTGTTAGCCGTAATGGAGAATAGGCTACCGACCAGCATACAGCACGACGACTACTGAAACCATTTGGAATAGGTGTGTGGCACACGAAACAACAGAATCACTTCAATCAATCAGTCAATCCTATGTAGACCAAAGGACAAAATGACAAAGGAATAAAAACCAAATATCATCTCTACAAAATAAATTGCTCAGACTGTGGAAAACATTACCTAGGACAAAGTAGACAGCCTCTCCAGCTTCGTTTACGTGAACATCAATTAAGCAGTCAAACGCCACGACAACGCTTCGCTGATATCAATACACACGGACATTTATGGACGCGCATTCGATTCGAACAATGTGGAAATACTGGATAGGTGGAGTATAAAGAAAACTAGAGAATTTTTAGATGCTTGGTACTCATCAGGTCAATCGGCAATCAACAAACACATCGTCACTGACCCAATTTATCAACCAATCAGGAAAATCATAGGTGACATAGGATCAAGAAACAGATCAAAAGCGGGATACAATCAAAACAAAGGTGCAAACAACGACAGGTTTAAGGTGAACAGCAACCAATCAAGATCGAGGTTAGCAGAACAAGCTACAGGTCAAACGTGGAGAAATTCGAATGCTTCACTTCCATCTGAAGTTTGTGCAGATGATGTTGTTCAGTAGAAGAACAATGATGAAAGCTCGACAACTAAAACATCCAGCTCAGAGAATGAAACATCAATACAGTTATTTGGTGTTATTTTTTTTACTTTGATCAAGAGGATTTCATGAAAGGGCTCGTGTTGTGACGTAATTGGGTGCTTTCAACAATGTAAGACCTAACCACCTCCGGCTCTTTCTCCTAATTTCTTCCGCTACTGAAAACTGTTTTGTTCTTTGCTACGGTAAGATGTTGCAGATTGTCTATGGCCAACGGATCCGAAGTATTCTTTGTAGAGAAACGTTAGCAAACACTCGTATCTTCTGGATGGTTGTAAATGAAATTAAGCTAGTGATGTAATATTAGTAGTCTACCTGGAGCCCCTCTACAGTTACTATCAGTCCCAAGCCCGTATAAAAGAGGAGGAGTTAGGCATGGGGTTAGCGACCCCATACTATACAAAACAGGTGTTAAAACGTTTGATTTTAGTCGTACTTCAAAGTCATTAACAGTCAGGAGGTAACTAGTGATCTTAAAGCGATTCCGATTTGTATCACTGAAACTAGTGTTCACATTCGACTGCATCGAAATATGAGTATTCGATTAGGAAATCTGGGAAATAAACATTTATTAAGTAATAAACAATATTCTGTTTGCAATATTCTTACGACTATTCTCATTCAGTAACATTTGCCAATTAACTTATCATGATTTTGTTAGGATATTCATCCAATATCCTAAGACAATTATTGGTCACTTCCTATTGGTTAATTCCTACTGGTCAATTTTATGGTCGTCCTAGATATCGATGTCATGTGCTCCAATGTGTTTCTTATTGGGTGTCCAGACTATCACTGTCACTTCAAATGGTGCTTTCTATTGTTTGTCCTAACTGTCAATGTCACAGACTTCGATGCTGTTCCGTATTCGACCAAAATGTATACATACGTATTATCTGTAACGTTTCATGACCAGGACCAGGACCCCTAGACCGGGATTCTGATACTCTTCTGGATTCGAACCTCGTACTTTCTGGATGCTTGTATAATACAGGTTCTACTTGATATCAAGTCTTCTTATTTTTTTACTCAATATGGGGGTCGGGATAATCGGATTTGACTAGCATGTTGTGTCACCGGATCCTAGCTCTCGTTTTCCGACTAGGTAAACTCGTAATAGTTCAAGCATATCAAAATGACGTGTTTACGTGCAGGCATAACAAATTTAATTTGAAAAATATATCGCTACGTTAAGAGTGGAATATGCTGATTGAATCATGGGGACCAATCAAAATTGAGATAACACCTCATGTGTTTCGTGTTCGGTCTAAAGTGTAGCACCGTGTTATTATCAACGGAGTAATAATTGGCATTATATGCTCTTCATCATACTTTATAACTTACTTACTTACTTATGCCTGTTACCCCCAATGGAGCATAGGCCGCCCACCAGTTTTCGCCAACCAACTCTGTCCTGGGCTTCCCTTTCCAGTTCTGTCCAGTGTTTGTTCACTCTTCTCATATCTTTCTCTATTTCTCGGCGTAATGTGTTCCTTGGCCTTCCTCTTTCCCTTTGACCTTGAGGGTTCCATGTGAGGGCTTGTCTTGTGACGCAGTTAGGTGCTTTTCGTAGTGTGTGTCCTATCCATTTCCACCGCTTCTTCCTGATTTCCTCCTCCACTGGAATCTGGTTTGTTCTCTCCCACAGTTAGTTGTTGCTGATGGTGTCTGGCCAACGAATCCGAAGTATTTTGCGTAATACTTTATAAGATCAATAGAAATTTCTACTCTGTAACCAAAAATTGAATTTTGAATAGTACCATATATAGCACCATTGTACTATAGTACCATATATAATTGCTCTCAAGATACATTATATGTTAAAGTACTTGCTGTGATTCAATCGGATGTCAAGTTTTCAATGAAGCGAGATAACAATATCCGTACTTCTTAACTATGAGTTACTTAAAATTGTAAACATTAGAATCAAAAAGCATTGCAGCATAGTTGATGTCAGTTCATGTGTAAAATTCTGACGCAAACTTAAAAAAAGAACGAAATCAATAATTCAGCTTAATTTTTGTTACCTAACGCTACCGTTTTTATATCATATCTGGTTTCGTCCAGTGACGGAAGTTCTTTGGGGTGATAACGCTAGCCCCGAACACCAGCCCGACTTTTGATAGGTGAATTTAGGCTTTTTTTCGTCTGCTACAATGAATAATCCGAGATTTGACAGATTGATTATTTAGATCGAAGCTATTTTTTCACCGACATTTTATTGCTCTTCACTGGTTTTTTGTATCCGAAGTTCAAGTTTCTTGATCGATTAACAGGCTAATCACGATTGTGATGAGTATATTTTACTTTTACCACTTCGTATTAATAACAAACTATTTGCAATTTTATCAAAGAATATTGTTAAACTCGTCTCTAGGTATGCTTAACGAGAACAAAACAATGAACCAGCGTCCAGGTAGGCTACTCTGATCCCTTGCCCCAAATATACTAGCAAGAAGTCTTGAAAAAGCGTAGGAAGTATTTTCTACAAACATTCAGCCAGCACACAAATCGCGTTTGTTTATACACCATAGAGACGTCCTTGGGAGAGTCAGAAAATAGAACACTAAAGTAACATAATAAGCAATCACAGCTAAGGATTCTCTTGGTAGGGAATGTGATCTCAAGTTCAACTGATCAGCCCATGAATAAAATCCACAATTAAGACATTTAAGCATACTTAGAGACGAATGTAAGACGACCATCATTAGAAAACTGGCACGATTGGTCAAAAACGGCTAATTCGTTCCACAATAAGACTCGTCAGCAGCACACTCCCAGCTTTCTAATGGTAGTCTAACAATGCTCAATTCATCATTTCAAAATAAGTCACATTAGTTAGCTTGAGATATTTGAGAGCATAAGTGACATTATGGATGCAGGTTTTACTGATACAGTCATTAATTGCGACAATGTATACCACACAGTTGATACCCAACTTCATTTTCATTGTAAGCTGTTTCAATGTTCAATAATCATCTTTACAATTAATTACCTGAGAAAATAATCTTAGGCACTACTGAAAATTACAACAGTAATGAACATTTACAAACTGTTTAGGTTTTCAAGGTGAATCTTCAAGCACAATATCTCCATAAAAAATAAAAGTAATAATCAATCGGAGTTAGACGTTAACACCGTCAGATGCCGGCCCAGTGGATCAGTAGTTAGGCGTTGGCGCACAATACCGAAGGTTCCAGGTTTGAATCCTGCGAGATGCAGGAGTCGTAGATGCGCACTACCACTGATGAGTCCCATACCAGGACGAAACGGCCATCTTTCAGTGCTTCCAGGTTTCTAGTAGTGTGGTTTAACAATGATTGGTTGATGATTTCAAATGTGTAAAATACACTCATCTTCATAACTCTAATTGAAAATAACCAACTGTCAAGGGCCTTTGACAAATTTTTCACATAAAACACACATTCAAACACGAGTACACTCTCTTATATCTATACGCAGAATGATATTACATAATTTTTTTTTTTTCACTTTCTATTATACACTATCAAAAAAATATCCCACTTTTACTCTTTGACTAAATTTCTTTATTAAAATTCTGACGTACACGTGATAGATCCAGTAGTAGTCAGTCAGGTAAGACACAAACGCACTGAAATAACACTATTTGGAAAAATAAACAATTCGATGTGATTGGTAGAAAATCCACAGCCAATCACAGACAAGAAGCAGATATCGATTTTTTTTTCTATAGCTAGCCAATAAACAACCAATGGACTTTACATCATAATCATTCGATTCAAATTATTGTTCAAATCAAGGTTGCATTTGTACTATTTTTTTATATTATAATAATGCTGTTTGTTTTAACTAAACACTTTTATCGATTTTAATGATAAGTAATAAAATAGAATATTATATATATACAATTGAAAAAAAAGGTAGTGAGTGATAAGGATATAAGAAAAAATTGAATTATCCAAAGTCATTAGAATTTTTTCTAAAAAAGACGTACACACACACAGACAGAGACAAGCACAAATGCAATAAGGAAGAAATAAAGGTGAAACACAATCAAGTACAGTTCGTATTGATTTCAACTTTTTCAATAATCGTTCAGTTAACATACACATAGTGATTCGGTGGTAGGTAACGAAGCACCATATCAATCTGATCAAGTCATGATAAAGAGGGAGAAAGTTGATTTTTACATTTGAACAAGTCAAAGAAAAAGAACACGCAGTAAAACAAATTACACAGTAGACAAAAAATAAGGGAAACAATGTCAAAGTGTATATAGTGTGCAGAGTGAAGGGATTCATGGAAACTGGACGGTTAAAAATGTAGACAAAACACATACACACACTCAAAACAACAAGAACAACACCGACAAGGTATCAGGAAGTGTTTTTTCGTATTTCAGGCATAAGTAATAATTGTATAATTTCTGCATAATACACACCAAACACATGACGATTATGAGCTAATAATGGCAGCAAGCGACTTGCTAAATCGGATAAACTTAATATTTCCAATTTAGACATTGTTTTCCCACTACTGCTCATTGAATCTTGCAATGGTGGAGTAGAGGGAGAAGGTGGAAATTGTAATCCACTGATAGTACTAGGATGATTTTGATTACTACTACTACTAGTACTAGCGCCACAACCAAACATCATTGTTGTTGTTGGTGTTGTGGTCGGGATGTTCATTGGTGATTTTTGTAAATAACTACTGCCACTGTTTTGAATGGATGAGTTGAGTTTAGTTTGATCCAAGTCTAGGAGAACACTGAAACCTGGCGGTAAAGTCAAAGGTTCAGGAGGATAAGATGATAATGCTGAACGTAGAAAATCCATTGCACGTTTATCTGAAAGTCAAACAAATGATGAATGATATTAATTTTTAGAAAAAGAAATGCATATCAATACGTATAAGTTTGTAAACAATAAGGTTTATGTAAATCAGCAACAACCTACTGTGTGAGAGAACAAACCAGATGGCAGTGAAGGAGGAAATCAGGAAGAAGCGGTGGAAGTGTGGATAGGACACACTCTACGAAAAGCACCTAACTGCGTCACAAGACAAGCTCTCACATGGAACCCTCTGGGGCAAAGGAAAAGAGGAAGGCCGAGAAATAGAGAAAGACATGAGAAGAATGAACGGTGATTGGACAGAACTGGAAAGGGAAGCCCAGGACAGAGTTGGTTGGAGAAAACTGGTGGGTGGCCTATGCTCCATTGGGGGTAACCGGCGTAAGTAAGTAAATCATAAAAAGTAGTGTAGTGCTGTTATTTTAGTGTGAAGAGATGAATGACTGAAGATTGTCAGAAATCAATCAGTTTGCATCTCCCACTAAGAAAATCTTTGACTGTGATTGGTCGATGGATTATTTTAGTAAGCTATTATGTGGCTCTCACCAAGGGCGTTGTTATCATTGCATAAATAACCTTGAGTTGTGTGCTTTTGGACATTGTATTTTCTCGGTGCCTGTGAAATACATTTCTCCACGTCTCATCAAGACTTATGCCTCTAGTTAGTTCGGCCTAGGACAATCGGATTAGAGTAACGCCTATCGTTTCGCTGAATCATTGACCGTCATTCCGTTTACCAAGTAAGGTAAACTCGTAAAAGCTGCAATTATATCAGTTTATATACGTGACAGATGCAAATATCTACAAGATCATTTAAATATTGTTAACGATACTTGGAAATTCAATCACACTGGTTCTTCAAAAATGTTAAGTAAAGGAGCAGGAAACAACTATATTGTAGTCCTGTATCTGAGTTTCGAAGTGAGTATACAAAGTTGAAACTAGAAAGTTTATAGTCATGACAAATGTAGCTTATTGTCTGATCTAACAAACAGTACGAATATGGAAAGCTTTAACTGTAATGCAATTTATCAATCCATCAGTAACTGATTTCAATTATTCATGAAAACTACATTTACAATGAATGATTTGCTTTACAAATTACTTGGTCTCACTTTTCAGGAGTAACATTTTACAAGGAGACATGCTTACTGACTTAGAGTATGCTGATGACATTGTTTTATTCGGTGAAGACGCTGAAACATGCAGAGTCTTCTGACTACTCTAATCAACGATGCAAGCATGTTTGGGATGCGACTCTCTTCGTCGAAATTCAAAATGTTGCTTCAAGATTGGCTCGCACATGCACCTGAACTAGTGATGGGGAGTGAAGTAGTCGAAAGTGTAGACCGCTTCACTTATCTTGGGAGTCTCGTCAGTGCCGATGGCCTGGTGACTGACGAAATCTCAGCGCGGATACAGAAGGCTCGATTAGCTTTTGCCGACTTGCGTCACTTATGGCGTAGGCGAGATATCCGTTTGCTGACTAAAGGACGAGTGTACTGAGCAGTAGTTCGCTCCGTCTTACTTTATGGCTGTGAAACATGGCCAGTGAGAGTAGGAGATATTCGTAGGTTACTGGTTTTCGATCACAGGTGTCTTCGAAGCACTGCCCGTATATCATGGCACATCCGAGTGAGCAACGCTGTTATTAGGAATCGGGTGCTAGGTAAGAATTGCAGATCAATCGATGAAGTAATGAAACATCATCAGTTGAGGTGGTTGGGACATGTGTTGCGTATGCCCAACCACCGACTGCCTCGTCGAGCCTTGTTTTGTAGTGTAGGAATAGGTTGAAAGGTTAGGGGCGGCCAAATCAAAACATGGCAGAAATCCATGAAGTCATTGACGAGTGGACTGAGTCATGTCGGTAGTTGTCGACTATCTGGTTGGGGTCCGCGAAATGATAATAATTGATGGTTAGAGACCTTGAATGATATAGCTCAAAACCGTTTGCAATGGCGCCGGTGCATTTATTCTCTGTGTTCTCTCAAATCCTAATCTTATGGATTCTTCGACCCCTCTAGTTTCGACTCTCTAAACTTTTCTCACTGAAACATACTTCTTGAATAGTATCTTCTAACCCTAACCTCTCCGATTACTTCTAATTTCTCTACTACCTCTACTACTATTGGATTTGAATTGACAATTATATCTCTGTGCTGATGAGGTATGGCAACATGAACTAATGTACTCACGTACGACGTTCTACGTTGCAACTGACTGACTGACTGATTGGAATTACGATAAACTTAATTTAATGAATAAAATTGATTCAGCATTATGTACATTGCATGATTGTTACAATGTTGATATTCATTAATTATGGTATTCTAGTTTGTATAGTGTGTGTGTGTATGTGTAAAGGTGCATTCAACAGCGATTGGTTACCTTTACTCACATGATTTCACTAGTGAATGGATGGTGTTATCGTGATTAAAACGAATGTTATAAAGATATTAGGAATAGTAAATAGTAAATACTACTACTACTACTACTAATAATAATAATAATAATAATAATAATAATAATAGTGATCATTAGAAAGGAAGTGATTGTTCAAAGAAGACCACGATCGAATGTGATCACAAGATCAACACCAATGATCTCAGCTGATTCAAACCAGTAAGACCGAGAGAGAAAGAGAGATTAAGGGTTTACGAACAAGAAGGAAACAAACATTGATAAAATGCAATCACTGATGTCATAACAAACAATGGACAAACAAAAAGCTTTCGCCTTCATAGTCTGTTTGTTGTTCCATCGCGAAATCACACATAACCATCCGTATTCTATTTTCTCTCTACCGTCAGTGTCTAGTTTGAGCATTATCGTATTCTTGTCATTCTTTCGTGTATTGTACTCTTGCCTGGATGCATATTTATCCAAGTGTGGTGATGGTGTTTCGTTCTCTAAGCTGGATGCTGTTTTGGTTGTAGAGCTTTCATTGCTCTTCTACTGAACAACATCATCAGCACAAACTTCAGATAGAAGAAGAAGTGAAGTATTCGAATTTCTCCACGTTTGACCCGTAGCTTGTTCTGCTAACCTCGATCTTGATTGGTTGCTGTTGACATTAAACCTGTCGTTGTTTGTACTTATGTTTTGATTGTATCCTCCTTTTTGATCTGTTTCTTGATTCTATGTCATCTATGATTTTCCTGATTGGTTGATAAATTGGGTCAGTGACGATGTGTTTGTTGATTGCTGACTGACCTGAGTGCCAAGCCTCTAAAAATTTATCCAAGTGTCTTTTTTCGTTCTAGTTAGTTCGTCAACTCTCTCCGCCCCTCTAACTTGTTTGCTAGCCTATCTATCAGTTGATGGAATAGTTCTCTTCCCTTTATGCCTTGAAGGCCATTTAGTCACAGTTGGAAACACACACTAACTAGTCTCAAGCGCGTTTTTAACTAGAACAGATCTTATCACATCGTGATCAACTTCTGTCCATATGTATTCGTTGTAGTCAGAGACGATTGAAATAACGTAACAGGCATATAAAAAAGAAAATAACTTACGCATAAGTTTATAAACTGGATGTTCCGCAGTAATCACTGAAGTTAACTGTACAGTCAATTCATGACGTCCATAATCTGTTATATAAGCTGTTGTTGTTGGTGGTGGTGGTGTACATGACAATTTCTGCTCATTTGATGTTGCTACTGTTGTGGATGATGGTGAGGGTGATGATGTGACTGCACCACAGGGTGTCGCTGATTGTAATATACAACGATTATACCATAATTCAATGGTCAATATCACTTGTTCAATGACATCATCAATCAATTGATCAGGTTTACTAAAAATAAATGAACATTGAATAAAATTAGTGTAAACAATTAAAAATATAATTTAATAATAAGTATTTATTTTGCATATTTATTTATAATTTATAAATTTCAGTCGGTCAGCTACAATGTAGAACTTTGTACGTAAGTATATCAGTTCAAGTTGCCATATCGTATTAGCACAAAGATACAACTGTTGATTCAAATCCCATAGTAGTAGATGTGTAGCGAACGAGAACACAGGTGGGGCAACCGGATTGTATTTAACGAAAATTACAGAGTTACTCAGTAAAATCGGAAAACCATATCGTAAATCGTTAATTTGCAAAATATCAGTTCATCATCATCTCGAACTGGACTGTTCCTGTTGCCAAACATCAATCCATTGTCACTATTCATGATGCGTTTCATACAAATTCCATTGTGTTCCCACTCTTCCTTTCTTGATCTTCCCCCCCCCCATCTTCTGCTGCCAGACATTACGTTGACACTCACGTCATATACTACTTATAAGTAGCTCACACCACAGATGTAGTAAAAGTATTAGTAGTAATCGGAGAGATTACAGTTCGAAGATATTATTCAAGAAACAGAATCCAATGAAATAAATTTAAAAAGAGAAACATAGAGGTCGTGACGAATCCATGAGATTAGAATTATCGAGAATACTAAGAATGGATGCCCTTGAGTTATTGCAAACGATCTGAAACTATGTCAATCAAGTTTCAATACTTCATCGATTGATCTGCCATCCATACCTAGTACGCATTTCCGAACTACAGCACTGCTTACTCAATTGTCCCAGGATATACGAGCAATGATTCGAATACACCTAGGATGGAATACTAGCAGACTATGAATATACACTACTCTTACTGGCCATGTTTCACAGCCATAAAGTTGGACGGAGCGAACTGCTACGCAGTACAAGCGTCCTTTGCTTAGCAGACGGATTTCGAGCCTACGTCATAAATGACGCAGGTTGGCAAAAGCCAATCGAGCCTTCTGATTCCGTCACACACCAAGCCATCAGCACTGATGAGATCCAGGAGATAAGTGAAGCGGTCGACATGCTCAACTACTTCACTCCTTATCATATCATATCAACAGTTCAGTAGATTTCAAGTCATATTATAATAAATGTAAGGAGTTCGATTAACAACTAATCAAGATCGAGGTGAATAGGACAAGCTTTGAGTCATTTGTGGAGAAATTCAAAGACTTCACTTCTTCTACCTAAATTTTGTGCTGATGATGTTGTGTCAGGAAGAAGGAGAAGAATAATGAAAGCTTCACAACCAAAACATCCAGCATAGAGAACAACGAAAACTCCACCCTTAACAAGTCCAAATGCTCCAACTAACATAGATTGAATGACACTTGTGCTGACGACTTTAATATCGATTGTTTTCACAAACTTCATAATGATTTTCAAATCAATCTCTTTACCCGCTATGCTAGGTAAGAATGGAAGATCAATAGTGAAGTGTTGAAAACTTCATCAGTTGAGGTGGTTGGGACATGTGTTGCGTATGCCCAACCACCGACTGCCTCGTCGAGCCTTGTTTTGTAGTGTAGGAATAGGTTGAAAGGTTAGGGGCGGCCAAATCAAAACATGGCAGAAATCCTGAAGTCATTGACAAGTGGACTGAGTCATGTCGGTAGTTGTCGACTATCTGGTTGGGGTCCGCGAAATGATAATAATTGATGGTTAGAGACCTTGAATGATATAGCTCAAAACCGTTTGCAATGGCGCTGGTGCATTTATTCTCTGTGTTCTCTCAAATCCTAATTTTCTGGATTCTTCAACACCTCTAGTTTTGAATTTCTAAACTTTTCTTACTGAATCATACTTCTTGAATAATATCTTTTAGTGCTAACATCTCCGATTACTCCTAATACCTTTACTATCTCTCCTACTATTGGATTTGAATTGACAATTACATCTCTGTGTGCTAATATGGTATGGCAACATGAACTGATGTACTTACGTATGAAGTTCTACGTTGCATCTGACTGACTGACTGACTGGTTAGTTTGCTTTGTTCAAAGGCTTGGACAAGCCCTATGGGCTCGACATTATTAGTACACATACGCACACACACACACACACATAGGACGTGTTGTTGATGTTGTAAAAAAAATTATCTACATGCAGAATGTGAATTGATTGTGGTAAATTAATTTATTCATAAAAGTTTGTTTTTGTTTTAACGATGACTAAACACGCATTGAATAAGTAACATCACTCAGAGAAATTCGTCAACGAATTACAGAAAAATATGTAGAGAACTGCAGAGAAAATGCAACTATGCTTAGAATAGAACACTAAAACCTAGAACATACATTTGATTCTAGTTTGAGATTTGTCAAAGTAGATGCATTTGCAATTCAACGTTGATATTCACACTCTCCATGATCCGAAGCTGGTAGAGTTAGTTTCGAGATGGTGGAGAAAATTTGTAGCTCAGGTGGATGATTGTGGTGGTGTTTCGTCCTCTGAGCTGGTTGTTTTGGTTGTGAAGCTGAACAAAATCATCAGCACAAACTTCAGATAGAAGTGAAGCAGCAGTCAATCAGCAATCAACAAACATATCGACATTGACCCAATTTATCAACCAATCAGAAAAATCATAGGTGACATAGGATGAAGAAACAGATCAAAAAGGGGATACAATCAAAACAAAGGTGCAAACAACGATAGGTTTAATGTCAACAGCAACCAATCAACATCGAGGTTAGCAGAACAAGCTACAGGTTAAACGTGGAGAAATCCGAACAATTCACTTCTCTGCCTGAAGTTTGTGTTGATCATATTGTTCAGAAGAACAGTGAAAGAAAGCTCCACAACCAAAACAACCAGCTCAGAGAACGAAACACCACCACAGAGTTCGTTTAGCCAATGTAAAGACATGATTAAGCAAGTCAAGGGTAACATTTCTACAATTGAACAACATCAGGAACTCAAAGCAATTATCAACCGACACCGAAATCAGAATTTTCAATATAAATGTCAAGACAGTTTTGCTGTATGGAGCAGAAACTTAAAAAAACCATGAAAACCATCATTCAAGAGGTACAGTTGTTTATTAATAATTGTCTACTCAAGATACTGAGGATCTGTAGGCCAGAAACCATCAGCGACAACCAACTATGGGAGAAAAGAAACCAGATTCCAGCGGAGGAAGAAGTCAAGAAGACGTGCTGGAAGTGAATGGGACAAACTTTGAGTAAAGCACCCAACTGAGTAACAAGACAAGCCCTCACTTGGAATCCTCAAGAACAAAGGAAAAGATGGAGACCAAATAGCACAATAAGGCGGAAAACGGAGATGGACAAGATAAGAATGAACAGCGATTGGACAGAAGTGGAAAGTAGGACTGATATGCTTGAAACTATTACGAGTTCACTTTACTCGGTAAACGGAGCGCAGATAAATGATGCACTGACACAATGGGCTATTCTAATCCAATTGTCTCAGGCTCCGCTAACAAAGCAAGAAGTCTTGATAAGGAGTAGAGAATGTATTCTACAGGCTCCCATAAAGGTTTGGGTAGTTAAGCAGTCAACTCAAGCTTATTTATACAATGATAACAACGCCCTTGGTGAGAAGCACAAAATAGCATGCTTAAATAATCCATCAACCCATGACAGTCAAAGATTTTCCGAGAGATAAATGTGAGTTGTAGGTGAATTAAGCGTCTTATGCGCGAAAATTCTAAATTTCAGATATAAATTACAAAATTAAGACCTTCCCAAGTGAGTTCTGGGTATCTAACAACCCCAACACACCTCACCTTTTTAATAGCGTACATTCCTCCGGTCGACTTGCATCTTTATTGTTGTTCGCCACTGTCTAGAGGATCTAACATCACCAACAAAGACTCAGAACAGAGTATTCAGTCAGTCAGATGCAACGTAGAACTTCGTACGTACGTAGGTACATCAGTTCATGTTGCCATACCACATCAGCAAAGAGATATAATTGTCAATTCATATCCAATAGTAGTAGAGGTAGTAAAGGTGTTAGAAGCAGTCGGAGAGGTTACGATTAGAAGATATTATTCAAGAAGTATGATTCAGTGAGAAAAGTTTAGAAAGTCAAAACTAGAGGTGCTGACGAATCCAGAAGATTAGGATTTGAGAGAACACAGAGAATAAGTGCACCGGCGCCACTGTAAACGGTTTTTAGCCATGTCACTCAAGGTCTCTGACCATCGATTATTATCATCTCGCGGACCCCAACCAGGTAGTCGACAACTACCGACATGGCTCAGTCCACTTGTCAATGACTTCATGGATTTCTCCCATGTTTTGGTTTGGCCACCCCTAACTTTCTTCCAACCTATTCCTACACTACAAAACAAAGCTTGTCGAGGCAGAGTAGGTCGGTGAATGCTGGACCCTGGCCTATACTCCATTAGGGCTAACAGGTGCAGGTAAGTAAGTAACACTTCGTTTCAAACTACACCGTGTTATTCAGATAACCAAATGAAATGTATTGTTTAAAACTACAAACTTGTAATTTTTCTATTACAAGTTCGCAACACCAACTTCATACAATGAACTTACTAATTCAATGCAATTCCATGTAACACCAGAGCAACATCTTGACATATTGATTTTTTCAATTGTATCATGACATCATATGATGGTAGTGGACTGTGATTGGCTGGCATTGAAAATATCGATTTGCTGGTATGCGTTGACGGTAATGATGACGGTGATGATGATTGATGGTTAGTCAGTGTTGGTGGCGGTGTTGTTGTTGTCGCCGTCGTTGTGGTGGATGACAGATTGGTAGCCACATAATTGCATACCACTAGAATGATTGACGTTAAATTGACAATAATCAATAATTGATTGCCTAAGTCGATCAGACGATATTGATCCATAAGCATTGTCTGTGTGTGTGTGTAGACATTGAAATTCCAAAACAACAACAGAGATTAACAATGAAAAATTTTCAGAAAAACAACACATTTTTTACTGCGTTATATCATCGCATTAGTATATGAAATAATTATGTATATATATGTAGATAGAGAACGCAGTGATTTTGCAAGGGTTTCTATTATACTCTTGTTAATCTAACGGTTCAAACATTAAACGTTCGCGCACAAGACTGAAGCAGTTGGGTTTGTATTGGGGACGGAAGATCCCCAGAACTCATTTGATAAAGGTCCTAATTTTGTATTTTATGTTTTCACGCATAGGCTGATCAGTTGACCTTGAAATCGCATTTCCCACCAGGAACATCCTTGGCTGTGATTGGTTGATGTATTATTTTAGTACACTCTCTCAAGGACGTTTTCCTGATGTATAAATAAATGCGATTTGTGTGCTTGAGATCATTATATTTTCTGGGTGCTTGTAGAATAAATACACTTTTTACGCCATATTACGGATTTTTCTTCAGTTAGTTGGGGCAGCGGATCAGAGTAGCCTACCGTGTCACTGGTTCAAAGTTATTTGAATAGGATTGAAATATATTTTATTTAGATAAATCACATCCAGTAAAGTAATTTTAATCGAATCAATGATCAACAACAGTTTGTTCGTATATGTTTTGGGCAACGAATTCCACAATTTATGAAATAATGACTGAGGTATAGGGTATGCTTCGTATTATTGTCAAAACTAATTTGGTTTCTAACTTATTTCGAAGATTGTATTCAATCCATGTGAAAGGTTAACTCTCTAGGGGGGACCAGTTCTAGTCCAGGTCGTGAATGTATTGGTCATATAAATTTGGGAGCTTAAGAGATGGTACAAATCAGTAACTTGAGATGTTTAAAAACGAAGACAGTGACTACAATTCATTAAAACCGCGAACCTATCAATGTTAGACGGACATTAGAAACCTGAGAACATTGGAGGACCGTTTTTTCCTCCTATGGGACTCATCAGCAGAGCACATTTACGACCAGCGCTCGCAGGAATTGAACCCAGAACCTCTGGTCTCGCACACGAACACATAACCTCTAGACCACTGAGCTGGCGGCATCCAACAGTGTAAGTATCTAACTTCAATCAATCCATAATATTCCGCGACCTCATCGACTGTCTTCAATGGGTAACAAGCGCCACACAACCAACAGATTTTTAATAGTGCTCTAACGACGATCCGTTTAGTGGTTTCAATGAAACTTAACAATCTCCACAACCCTATAATGAAAGATTATGACCGCTATAATTTCAAAATATAAACACAGGAGTTTATATTACAGCTAAATGAACGATACAACAATCTATGGGAGTCATCAGTATTGCGCATCCACGACTTCCACTACTCACAGAAATTGAACCACGGACCTTCCGTTTTGTGAGTTCTAGTGAGAAGACGTGACCAGTGCAGTTCAACCCTGTCGAGTGGAAGCAGTGACTACCCAAGACTACGGGTGAAATTGCACACAAAACCTTAGATTAATCGACGTTAGACATGAACACTGTTGGGTGCTGGCTCAGTGACCCAGAGGTTAAGCGTGGATGTTGACAAACTATAAAATTAGTCAATTTTTTTTTGAAAACATCAGCGAATAAAAAAACAAACCAATTAACATTCATTCAAAAGTCAATATATATTTGTAACATTGAACAATGAACTTCTTACCTCAGGCCAATCACAATCTCGTGGCCATGTTAACAATTTTAAATAGGCTTCACGTAGAATATTATTGGGTGTCAATGGAATTACATCATTACTTGTAGGAGTAGGAGTACTAGTAGTACTAGCAGCAGTAGTAGTAGTACTAGTAGTAGTAGTACAATCATTTGAAGATTTTTTCATGTCTACTGAAATGTTACTAATGTTGTTGGTGTTGTTCGATGCGCTGGAGTTGTCCTCATGGACAGTCGACTGATGTGACGATGATGATGATGATACATGAAGTAGATCGTTATATGCTTGTTTAATCCAATCACGTGTATGCGCTAACCCATCAATACCAAGTTCTAACATAATAAACGGAAGATAGTGATGATGATGACAATAAGAGTAAAGTTATGAACAGGAAAAAAGAAAACTGGTTGATAATTTGAATAAAATTCAATCATCTCTGTCACTTTATACTGATAATGGGAATGTGCTTGCTAGTGACTAGATTTGAGAAGAATTCTTCGAAGTTATAGTGAGACCGTAGCTGTCACCTTGACGTGATGGTCGGGCTTGCCTATGGTGATCACTCAACCGAACTATATTGGCAGGAATATATGTTTATTTAGGTCCCATCATTTCAGACAGATCTATTGGAGAACGTTAAGACTAAAAGCAGCAACTCAAGGTCTGAGGGGTTAAAAATGGCCGACCCTAAAAATGTCACACCTTACCTTACCCTACGGGTTACCGTCTCCGGCGGTAAGGTCACTTGAAGAGCGGAGCTAACATGTTAAAAGCTTCCCATAAAGAAGTTGTGCGTGACCGGCCTCAGGTAGTTGTCCCTCAGGGTCTGCAGTCACACTCCCAGGTCTCTAAGACCAATTTCCTTTTCAGGTTCTTCAAGGAACATCCTTCCACAGTGTGGGCAGCCAGGAAGTAATATACGCCCTCATACTCGTAACAGCATACGTATGGTGAGGAGCTATAAGCAATCAAGTTCCAAGATATTGTGTATATGAAGAAGTTAGCGATCGAAGACAATGGATGATAGTTGCAAAATATCACTTAATGGTTGAAATTAGAAGCCAGCTTTTACCTAATTTCTTCGTCAAACGCAATCCGATTTGTTCTCTCCTGCAGTATGTTGTTGCTGGTAGTGTCTAGCCAGCGGCTCCTTAGCATTTTGCGTAGACAACTGTTAATAAACACTTGTATCTTGTGGATGACGGCTTTCGTAGTTCTCCAAGTTTCTACACCATACAGTAGAACCATCTTGACGTTTGTACTGAAAACTGTGACTTTGGTGTTGGTTGACAGATGTTTTGATTTCTAGACGTTCAATTGTGGAAAGACTGTCCTTGTTTAGCCAATCCGTGCCATCACAGAATTATCCTGTTTATGAACGATGTTGCCCAGATATGTAAAGATTTCTACGTCCTCCAAAGCTTCTTCATCAAGTGTAATTTGATTGGAGCATGTTGTGTTGTATCGGAAAATCTTGCTTGCTCTGTCCCTTGTAATTGTTACGACCTACTGTTGCAGAGGCTGCTACTAGACTGGTCGACATAATATTATCCAATAATAATCATTATTTTCAGATGACTTTAAAAACACAATACAACGCTTGAAAGCTGTTAGGATATTCATCCTAAGAGAATTGTTTTTGGAAGTCAAATCCTATTGGTTAACTCCTACTGGTCAATATTATGGTCGTCCTAGCTATAAATGTTGTTTCCTATTGGTCGACCTAACTGTATAAATACGAATTATCTGTAACGTTTTAGGATCCGGACCCGGATCTTTATTCCAGGATCCTTGCCTTCTTCTGGACTCGGACCTCGTACTTTCCGGATGCTTGTAGAATACAGGTTCTACTTCATATCAAGTCTTCTTCTTTTACTCAATGAGTTGGGACAATCGGATTAGAGTTGCTTGTCGCGTCGCCAGATCATCGATCCTCGCTGACAACGATTGAGTAATGGCGCTAAATTGAATTCTGTGTTTAAGGGATTTGCATTTTTGAGGCACAACATTCTTCTCTCTGATTAAAACGTTTAAATTGGCTGAATATCACACAAAACATATCGATAATCACTGTTGAGCATTCCAATAAATTCGATTGTAACTTATCGATGACAAATAAGGGAGAAGAAGACTAACTTCCAACACCTGTTATAATTCTCTCTCTCTTATTATTACAACCCAGCTATTTTCTAATGCTTCTCAGACACCAATTCACTCGAGACGTTCTCTCCAAAATGCGAACACAGTTGAACAAGAAATGCATTACATTCCACTAACAAGGTTCGACGGAAGACAGAAGTTTCAAAACAAAAAGACGTTAGTAGATTTACAGTTTTCTTACATGAGAATATTCTAGAATGTTCCCTCAGTATCGGCTAGCGCTGATTGGATACGAAAGAGCCAATCACAGTGCAACAATCCAATCATACTTTATTTTCAATCTATGTCCTACTTACATAGCGCAAAGAAATATTTTTTCAGATGACCGGTTAAAATTTGACATTCTTCTTTGCAATTTGATTAACTCAAGGGTAAGTTACCACGAATAAATATATATATATTTAAATTAGTGCATCCAGGTCAAGGACAAGATTCTCTACTTAGTAAGTATGAATCAATGATCAATTTTCGGAAGTAATTTTTGTTCAAATTAGCTATTTTTTACAGTTAGTTAGCTAGTTGCATTATGTGAAAAGAAATTATCAAACATGCAATGATATAAGATGATCATTACTACTTAAAAAAAAGCACTATTAATATTTTCACTTACTTTGTTGTGCTTCTAAGAAGGCAGCAAATTTAGTTCGTTCATAAGTAACAGCTTGTTGACGAATATATGGTCGCATTTGTTCAATGGTGAAATTAGCTAAATCCATATGCATTTTATCCAATAAAATGAAAACATTTCTAGTAGAATAAAGAAATACAGAAATTTTCTGTGTGAATATCTCCATTATCGATTGATATTGTGATAAGCGAAGGGCAAGCGGTGGAATTCAATCACAAATAGGATAAAAGGTATGCCTTAGATTGTACTGCTAGCAACCGTCTATCTCGAATGAAAAGTGTTCACATCGTGAATCAATCACTGTTTAGCCACTATGATATACCTGGAAGCACTAGACGATCGTTTCTTACTAGTATGGGACTTTTAGGCAGTGCGCATCCACGACCTGCACTCCTGTCTTGCGCGTGAACGCTTAACCTCTAGACCATTGAGTCGGCATCCTACTGTGAGATTTTACGAGATCCTTGGATTGATCGAAGCTAGACAAGAACATCATTGGACCGCGGCCCAGGGGTATACAGACTAAGCGTTCACGTGCGAGACCGGAGGTTCTGGATTCAATTCTTGCAAGCAGTGTTTGTGAATTAGCACTGCTATAGAGTATCAAACTAGGACGAAACGGCTGTCCAATGCTTCCAGGTTTCTACTGGTGGCCTAACAATGGTCGATTCACGATCTCAATGTGAAACAACAATCTCTATAACTCTATAATGAAAAATCACGTACATTTTTTTCTTTTAAATATCGTCATAGATATCCTTTTAGACAATACACCCTAATGACTTTACCTAGTCGAATCTCCTTCACAGAAAATTACTTGTTGAATTTAAATATGCGGAGAAAATAATTTTGTTCAGTGAATAGACTAACAAAATGCAGAGTTTTCTGATCACTATAGGTAAAAAGAAATTAAAGAAGGTTTAAGATGTAATTCTTTGTCTGCAAAATCCAAAATGTTGCTTAAGAATTAGCCTGCCTCAATGTCTTATTATATATACAGCAGGGAGAGATGAAATTAAATGTGTCGATCATTTTATTGATCTCGGAAATTTATTCACTTTTAATGGGCTAGTGAAATTTTGGCACGGATTCGATTTAGAAAGCTCAATGGGCGTTCACTAACTTATATTACATGTAGCATAGCAAGTTATTCGTTGGCTAACTAAATAAATAAGTTTATAATTGTTGATGACAACTGTCGAAATTTAATGCTAATCAAAAACCGGTTACAACTTGTACAAGATATCTATGACTCGAGATCAGTTAACGCTGACCATTTATGTAGCTCTTCTCTCTCTTAATCTCCCACTGTGCTCCGACTCCACATACATAACATCACTTTTACTTACGCCTGTTACCCCCAATGGAGAATAGGCAGCAGATCAGTATTCTCCAACCTACGCTGTCCTGCGCTTCCCTTTCCAGTTCTGTCCAATTGTTGTTCATTTTTCTCGTATCTTTCTCGATTTCTCGGCGTAATGTCTTCTTCGGCCTTCCTCTTCTCTTTTCAGCTTGAGGGTTCCAAGTGAAAGCTTGTCTTGTGGGGCAGTTGGGTGCTTTCCACCTGGAGACCCTATGGAGCCACTACCGATTCCAAGCCCGGGTAAAGAAGGATGGTTAAACGTAGGTTTAACGACCCCAACCCTTAGAAAACTAACTCGCTAAAAAAACGCTAACCAGAAAAATCAACTTCTAGCTCTTCTTGCTGATTTCTTCCTCCTCCGCTGGAATCTAGTTTATTCTCTCACACAGTAGGTTGTTGCTGATGGTGTCTGGCCAACCAATCCGAAGTATTTTGCGTAGACAACTGTTAATGAATACTTATATCTTCTAGATGATAGATTTCGAAGTTCTCTAAGTTTCTGCCTCATACAGTAGAACTGTCTTGAGATTTGTATTGAAAATCCTGATTTTGGTATTGATTGATAGCTGTTGGAAGAACTCTTCACATAGATGTCTATATATAATTGTTTGTAGGTCGATTAATGACACTACTATTCACTAACATAAACTGTACTTCCGATCAGATCAATTTTCTTCTAGTTGACGAACCCACCCGTTGACTAATAAACTACATCAAGGTCTTATGTTTATGCTTATTAGTCCCTGAGCAATTTGTTTTTTCAACCCAATTGCAAATCAGAAGTTAACAAATAAGAAGCAGGTTCTGTTGAGGACGTTAGATCCCCACTTGGGAAATCCTTGACTGTCATCGGTTGATGTATTATTTTAGTAGGCTATTTTTGTGCCTCTCCCAAGAACGTTAATATCGTGTATAAATAAACTCGATTTGTGTGCTTGTCGACCTCGTACTTTCTGGGTGCTTGTAGAATACACTTTCTACGCCTTATTAAGACTTTTTGATCTAGGTTAGCACGACCTGGGACAATCGGATTAGAATAGCCTGTCACTGTATCATTTGTCTTCGCTCTCGTTTACCGAGTAAAGTGAACTCGTAATAGCATTCCAGCATATCAATCGACGAGCGTATCAGATTCATTTTCTATTTTTGCCTAATTCAGTCATGAACCGAAACTTATAAGATAATACATTGAAAAAAATGCCTCATTACACAGAGCATTAAAAATAATAATAAAGAAATCACATTTTTAAGCATAATCATTACTAGAAGTGGTAGACCGTCTCACAGGGTCAGAGTCAGTCAGATGCAACGTAGAACTTCGTATGTACGTACGTACATCAGTTTATGTTGCCATACCACATCAGCACAGAGATGTAATTGTCAATTCAAATCCAATAGTTGAAGAGGTAGTTAAGGTATTAGAAGTAATCGAAGAGGTTAGGATTAGAAGATATTATTCAATAAGTATGATTCAGTGAGATAAATTTAGAAAGACAAAAGTAGAGGTGTTGAAGCATACAGTAGATTAGGATTTAAGGGAACACAGAGAATAAATGCACCCGCGCCATTGCGAACGATTTTGAGCCATGTCATTCAGGGTATCTAACCATCGATTATTATCATCTCGCGGACCCCAACCAGGTAGTCGACAACTACCGACATGACTCAGTCCACTTGTCAATGACTTCATGCATTTCTGACATGTTTTGGTCTGGCCGCCCCTAACTTTCTTCCAACCTACTCTTACACTACAAAACAAAGCTCGTCGCGGCAGTCGGTGGTTAGGCATACGCAACACATGTCCCAACCACTTCAACTGATGAACAGTTACTACTTCATCAATTGGTTGGCCATCTTTACCTAGTAACCTTCTCCTATCAACAGCATTGTTTACTCAATTCTCCCAGGATATACGAGCAATACTTCGAAGACACACATGATCGAATACTGGTTACCTACAAATATCCTCTATTCTTATTGGCCATATTTCACACATGTAAAAATTATTCGTCTTGTTCATAATAATAAATAAATCAACTGTTTCATAGAACTAACATTAAATAGTACAAATCATTCAACTTACTTGAATGCTTCAATTGGATCATTGATATTTCGTAAATTTTCCACTTCTTGATCACGTATCGGTGCACAGAATTGTTTCATTAAATTAATCACTTCTGTTTTATACATTTCTAAACTTAAATAACCAGTTTCTTCTAATTGTGATCTAGCTATATCCATATCCAAAAGATTTTCAATTAGTGTTTTCAATGTCACTTGATTCGGTAGAACTAAACCTTGTAAAGACTTGAATTACACACACACAAAAAAAAGGGAGAAATTAATCAGAGAGAATAAAGAAAATTTAAACAGTGTGCTCACTAGTGAGAAGATGTGACCAGTGGAGTTGAACACTGACGGGTGTAGGCAGTAACTACCGAAGACATATGGGTTGATTGATTAGAGTTAGGCATTAACACCCTTGGATGCTGACTCAGTGGTCTAGAGGTTAAGCGTTCAAGCGCAAAACCGAAGGTCCGGAGTTCGAATCCTGTACGAGTAGCAGGATTCGTAAATGCGCTCTGCTGACGAGCCAGTCCCATACCAGGACGAAACGACCGTACAGTGTTTTCAGGTTTCTAATGGTGGATGGTTTATAATGCTACTCGCAGGATTCAAACCCACGATTAGTTAATGATGTTCAACACAGAACCTGATAGATATGTACATCAGTTTACATTGCTTACATCATATTAGCAGAGTGAGACAAAAATTATCAAGACAAATATCAGGTCAGCAGAAGTTGTAACAGTATCATTAGTATTAGGAAAAAGGATTACGTAGTATAGAGAGAAAAAGATTTAAGTATGTTCACGAGTGAAGGAAAGCGAAAATGTGAATACGCCTGAGTCACTGTTAACAATTCTCAGCCATATCATCTAGTGTCTAACCACTGGTTATGGTAATTTGGTTAGATTTCAAGTAGGTGGTTTGCACCTACCTATACATAGTTCAGTCAAACTGTCGATGACTTCGCAGAAAGAAAGAAACCCGTTGGTTTGGTTTAGGTTTCTTCCAACCTACTCCTACACCACAAAATATAATCCGTTGAGGTAGGCAGTAGTGGTCGGTGTACACATAATATATGCCTCACAACCAACTCAATTTCAATTCAATTCACAATTATATAAATTGTCAAGGACAGTTTAAAAGTGGTTTTTAGGAGAACCAAAGAGACTGCTCACGTGTTACCATTTCGACATAAACTGTTCAGTTCAATCCTGTGGTGCAACCACACAGGTACCTGATACACTGGTGGACCATTCACACCATTTATATACGGTAGTACATATATACAGTGATTATTTCTGATCCACGATCGCGTCAATCAATACGCACCGCATGAACAGGCCATTTCGACCCATCCCGCTTATATGACTGTCAAACTCATTATTATTAGCAATGGTGATAAGCAATACGGCGCCTCTCAGTGACAATGGCCCTCGGGAATGTTGCAAAACAACCACTAGTATCAATGAAATCGGTCACCCTGCTAACTAATTTTGTATATGAACTTGCCCAAAGCAATGCCAAACCATCCACAATGTTCATCTCAGCGAACCTCTGGTCTCTCATAGGAGAGCTTCAGCTCTATATAGAGCAGTATAGCATATGGTGTACACATCGCTCAGTCAGTTACAACGTAGAACTTCGTACGTATGTACATAAGTTCATGTTGTCATACCCCATCAGCACAGAGACGCAAATGTCAGTTCAAATCACATAGTAGTAGCGATAGTAGAAGTATTAGCAGTAATGGAGAAGATTATGGTTCAAAGATATGATTCGAGAAGTATAAGTCAGTGAGATGAATTTCAGAAAGAGAAAGATAGAGTTGATGAGGAACTCTGAAGGTTAGGATTTGAAAGAACCCAATGAATGAATACACCTGCGCCACTGCGAACGATTCCTAGTCATGTCGTTCAAGGTCTCTAACCATTGGTCACTTTCGTCTCGCGGACACCAACCAGGTAGTCTACATCTACCAACATGACTCAGTCCACTTGTCAGTGACTTCATGGATTTCTGCCATATTTCGGTCTGGCCGCCCCTAACTTTCTTCCAACCTATTCCTACACTACAAAACATCACTCGTCGAGGCAGTCAGTGGTTAGGCATACGCCACACATGTCCCAACCACCTCAACTGATGAAGTTTCATTACTTCATCTATTGATTTGCCATCCCTGCCTAGTACTGGTTTCCTAACAACAACAGTATTGCTTACAATACAAATTTAATATATGTGTATTAATACGAGGAAAATAGTATGATAATCAAAATAAATTTAGATCAAAATCACATACCTGTTTTACTTCTTCTAATAAACGTAAAACTGGTTGATAATCTGGTGGATCACATTCTAAACTTGATCGTAAAATATCCCAAAATGCTCTATGCATTGTTTCTTTAATACAATATTCCAAACTGAATGATAACAACAACAATAACAAAGAGAAAAATAAAACACATTTGTTAAATAAAAGAGTTGATCTAATTAAAACAAGTAGGAAGGATTTGATTTTGACCAATTCGGTCTTGTGTGCTGGTACGGGTATGAGGGCGGTTGTCACTTCCCGGTCGCCCACACCATGGAAGGTTGTTTCTTGAGGAACCTAAGAAGGAAAATAGATTAGTGTTGGTCTTAGAGACCTGGGTGCGTGACCGCAGAGCCTAAGGGACAACTGCTTGAGGCCGGTCACGCACCGCCTTTTTATGAGAAGTTTTTTGAGTGTTAGCTCCGCTCTTGAAAGCCCTTAGTGGGCACCCTTACCCAAGGAGACGGGAGTCCGTGAGGTAGGGTGAGGCGTGACATTTTTAGGATCGACCTTTTCTAACCCTTTCTTCCTTGTGAGAAGGCAGCATCGCTGCAGATGCTGGTTGTCCGAGGGAAACACCTTACTGCTGCCACACCCCTCTGCAGTCGGCAGTACGACTTCGCCCTCAGATCTTGGGTAGCTGCTTTTAGTCTCATCGTTCTCTGATCGACCTGCCTGGCATGGTAGAACCTACAGGAACATATGTTCTAGCCAGTATACCTCGGTTGGGTCATCACGATAGGCAAGCCCGACCACCACGTCAAGGTAGCTGATACGGTCGGGAATTAAAACAAGTATATTAATATCATCATAAAACATTGAACATAGAATTGAAAACATTAAGAATATTTATGTATTGATAGTTTTATGATAGATAGATAGATAGCAGAATGAAAAGTGAGTTCTGTTGCTGTAAAGAAATCCACTTTAGATCTCGGAAATGATATGTTAACTTACGGAAACTGAGATTTTACATGTTCGGTTCATTACGAGTGTTTATTAACTAACTAGTTTCTGGTGAGCATCTTTCCCAAACAACTCTTTATGCATTGAAATATACCAGCAGAAACTGTCTAGATCGTGAACACTTCGTTTAACTTGTTCATCTTACATGAATATTTTAAGAGATCAGCTTGAAGTGATTCATTATTCTTGTCATGAATAGAATAGTTCAAGCTTTACATCAGTCAGATGGAGCAGTGACTTAGTATTTGAAAGGCACAACGTATAACTACTGGATTGTTGGCTCGAACACCGCTCTGCTTGGTTTAGACAGTAGGTTACTAACACTAGTACTTGTTAACTTTGATTAAAAGCTAAATAGATGAGACGCTCAGATTAACCATAAATTGTATTGATCACTAAAAACAAAAGACTCAAAAACTCGCAGTACATTGATATGTACGCTACCGTACAATAGAGTAATCTGGTTAGATAACTTGAAAAGTACTTTGGCGGTTAAACTATACAATGACTGATCGATATGAGGCGATTCTTTTAGATTTTAGACTCAATTTTAAAAAGATCAACTTAAACAAGACCTCGATGGTTTAAAAATTCTTCTACTAGGTAAAATCGCGCTAAAAACTTGAATAAACAATCAAATAAGTAAATTCAGTGTTTCAGTACTAACGATTGCTTAAGATCTCACATTATTATACATTACATAAACAGCTTTTTAGATTATGTCTGAATAAATACAATTTAAAAGTTGCCTTGTGATGGGTTCAAATTCATAAGTTAATTACTACGTAGGTGAAAAGATCATATGGTAGCTTCTGTTAAGTCTATAGTTAACTGCATACCATAAAACGGTATTTTCATAAACGAGAATATTAGAGAGCAAACTGTAAAATGCTAATCGTCAATACACAGTGGAGATTTCAATTACTGAAATAATACTTAACTATGTAATGACTGATCAGTCTGAAGCAATTTGTCTAGATTTTAAACTCAATTTTGAAAGGATTAAGTTCCAGCTACTAAATGAGTGCTGTGAAAAATTAATTTTTAATAAGATGATCATTGTCTTTTAAAACTAAACAGATCTCAATAATCAGTGCGTCATCGTTACATACCTTTTTTCTTGTGGTTCATACTTTTCCAGCCTAAATTGAGAATCCACAGTTATTTCATGTGCTAAAGACATATTATAAAATGCTTCGGCTGCTTCTGCAAGTTGATTCATTGATACAAATTTCGGTGGCGAAGCTGACAAGAAAAAAGTAAGAAGATGATTTCAAGAAAAAGTGGAATACACGTAACATTTTCGAATTTCTTTGAATTAGATATGTTTACTGTTCTTGTTTTACACGCATAAAATTAGGAATTGAAATCAAACATCAACAGTGAATTTCACTTTTTAAAGTTACACAAGATTAGATTATTTGTTTTTTTCTCTGGATTATAAAACTGGATTCACGCTGATAGTTGATCATTAAAGTTTATGAAAAATGAGAAAGATTCATTTCTAGATAACTTCAGAGTAGTTAGTCTAAAAAATGCATTTTATAAAAAAAGTATTTTGATGAAATTGTATGGATCGACCATAGAATACGCATGAACTAGGAGAAATTTTGAAACATAAAGAAAGTGCAACTGTCAAGCAGAAGAAAAGTGTTTCCTCTAATGGAAGTTCAATTTCAGTGAGATAGACAATCAGAAACATAAAATGTATAGCTCTGTGGGTCCATGATTTCTTAGTTTGTATAAACGAGTGGAGATAAAACTAGTAAGACCAAAGGTATGCAATGACACATTAAGAACTTATAGAAGACATAGAATGGTTTTACTTGCTCCACTATGTTTAGTATTGAGATAAGTTGCAGTCCTTAGTTTGCGATTCAAGTTATGGATCAAATCCTACCTAGAAAGGGTGCAGTTTCATACGTAGCTTAAACAATGACTTCAGAAGGCAACTTTAAATCTTAATATGGACTGAAAAACTAAAAAACTTGCTAACTCCTACTGTACTGATTTAACCGTACCATATTCGACTAACGAAGTGATAGTGATGACGACCACTTATTGTCTGCACTGAATGCTAATCAGATTATATTGCGTCATCCTTAAAAGATAAGAAATAGCCTATGGCTCCACATTTTGCAAACATTGGGGAACTAGTTAACATCTTATAAGTTTGCGTACTCATGGAAATGTTGCGCGATATACAAATACCTTTCACATGAGTAGCTCTTAATTCATCATGTTTTCATGATTAAAAAACTGCAAAGCCTAATGATAGAGTCAACAAAAGCTAAATCGTAGCAAAAGGCTGAAGAGAAGAATCTAGGTAATAGGTGTAAAGAGGAAGAACTAGGCAATAAAATGTTGAAAACTAAGCATATAAAATCCAATGATAGAAACTAAGGAATAATACCATACTGCAATACTTTGAGGGATACAACAAACGAATAGGCCAGCTTTAAAACTTTATTACTTTGTATCCTAAAACCACAGGTTACGGTTAATTAATGAATTATGGTTGAGACAATCTGTGGTTAGATAAAGCCTAGCCTGAATATCGTAACTCTTTGAGTTGTTTAGTCGATCGACTCTATTACTTTAGACAAGATAGAAACTCAATCCCTACTCGGCACAATACATCTAATTTATTTTACGGAGCAATGTTACGTCTAAGGAGTAGGAATACGATTAAAAAACTAATAGGAAAGAGATGTGAGGCAACACACTCTTTTTGAAAAAAAACTTCTAACCAACGAAACAAAAGACTGAACGCTAACCTCTTCATTTGGAGGGCTTAAACAGGAGATACTTACGAGGTAGCAATGTACTTTTATCCTTATCACGATTCATTTTCATAGCGATAGAGAATCGTGAAGATTCTAAGGGTTGATTTGATTCGGCTAAAAAACCCTTATCAAATTCATTAGACGTCTTTGTTTCGTCACTGCCACCTGAACTCATAATGGGACTTCAGTTTATGTAAAGCGCGTGGAATAACCTTGAAAGGCAACCTTGAATTGGTCTGCGCCTAGCTACATAAAGGCTATTCCAATATTTACTATCCAGTATTGATGACTTTTACAGGGGTATTTAAAAATCTATCTTGATATATTTTGAAAGACTCCAAAAAGTATTTCGTTTCAATTACTATTATCCCTGCTCACTTGATAAATTTACCCAGGTACCTAAATGAATGCATTAACGCTCTACTGTTAAACATGGAACCTAACTAATATCCCATCCACTGCTCTGTATTTTCCTTACTTAGCGGACAGTAAACAGAAAGATCTATCAACTCATAAATCATTATTCAGTGTTCCAAACACCAAACCCGTACTAACAACTGATCAACTGTACATAAGAATGAAAGGGTTTGGTTTCCTAATCTGTAAGGTGAGCCTCGAAGATCTGGAACATAATAAATAGTTGCTGTACTTACTTTTTACAAGTCTAAGTTAACCTATGAACAACGATTTGAATGAAGAATACATTTTTCAAGTTCTTGTTCCAATAAAAGTTCTCGTACCTAAATCAGTGAAATCCATGTAGGCTGTTTCGCCTGGTGCAAAAAGAGGTGGTAGTATGCTTTTAAACTAATTGTTAGCGTCTTATGCGCTTGTAACTTGATGAAAAAGTCTTAAATTCGCTTTTTATTGGTTTTTTTTCTTAGTTATCCTAAATCTTTTATGGGACAACAAAAAATGGGAATGATTTATCATGAACTGACAGAACATCGATCTGCTTCAGAACTAGCTCGCCAAATATATGTGGGTTGCTTTGTGTTTGCAGTCAGACTTACCACTTATAGATGTTCAAGTCACAGGACCATGAAGGTGCATTTATACAAAATCAATTCGGGTCTCGTGTTAACTCAGATCTTTTATAAGAAAAACGAAGACCGATTAGACAGGATGAAATCAGTAGAATTGTTGGCGATTTGATGGTGTTGAAGAAATACCGAAACGTGCCAGAGAACGAACGATAGTACAGAGTAGCCAAAAAGCAAAATGGGGACCAAAATTACGAAAAAACAAGTATGCAGTAATCCGTTCGTGGTGGTGGTGTTCGGTTCTCTGAGCTGGGTGTTTTAGTTGTGCAGCTTTCAATGTTCTACTAAACAACATCGTCAGCAAAAACTTCAGATAGAAGTGAAGCATTCGAATTTCTACACGTTTGAGGAAAAACACCTGGTGGCTATCTTCCAAAAGAAGGGCTATCCACGCAACTTGAACAAAAAACATCAACCGAAATCATCATCATAGGCGAAATCAAGCACAGGAACCAATAAACGCATCATACTGCCATACATTAAAGACATATTGGAGCATACAGCACGACTACTGAAACCATTTGGAATAGGTGTGGCACACAAACCAACAGAATCACTTGAATCAATCCTATGTGGATCGAAGGACAAAATGACAAATGAAGAAAAACCAAATATCATCTACAAAATAAATTGCTCAGACTGTGAAAAACTCTACATAGGACAAAGTGGACGGCCTCTCCCGCTTCGTTTACATGAACACCAATTAGCAGTCAAACGCCACGACAACGCTTCGCTCATATCAGTGGAAATACTGGGTAGGGGGAGGACAAAGAACACTAGGGAATTTTTAGAAGCTTGGTACTCAGGTCAATCAGCAATCAACAAACACATCAACATCGACCCAATTTATCAACCAATCAGGAAAATCGTAGGTGACATAGGATCAAGAAACAGATCAAAAGGGGGATGCAATCAAAACAAAGGTGTAAGCAACGACAGGATTAAGGTCAACAGCAACCAATCAAGATCGAGGTTAGCAGAACAAGCTACAGGTCGAACGTGGAGAAATTCGAATACTTCACTTCTATCTGAAGTTTGTGCTGACGATGTTGTTCAGTAGAAGGACAATGAAAGCTCCACAACCAAAACACCCCGCTCAGAGAACCAAACACCACCACAACAATCATCCTCCTGAGCTACAAATCTTCTACACCATCTCAGTAATCCGTTCACTGGTACAGTTGATAATAATATTGAAGGTTGTTATTTACCAAACTTTTTCTTCGTAAAAGCGAAATCACTACGAGCTTGGAACAAGTGGAAATCCCCTTGAAGGATTCTGACTTTAGTTCTTACTTAGAATTGAGAAACAGATGTAATACTAATGTTCGAAGTGATAGGAGCCACTTTCAGATGAAGCTAGATGTCCAAATACAGGCAAAACCTAAGCGTCTGTTTAGGTTCACGACAAAATGAAAACCTCCCAACCAGGGTTTGTGTTCTGTCGGAAGTCCTAATGAGGAAGACATCATCAACATAGACACGTCTGTGATCTTCAACACAAACTTCCGCGATCAGTTAAACCGGACAATCACATTTTTAGAGAACTGTACAAACCCGATGCCAGTTGACGGCTTAAGGAATATCCGAATGAATTCTGACTTAGCACTAAAACCCTTAAGCCCAGGAAAGTCGCCAGATTGTTACGAAAGTCGCCCCATAGCCTTGAAACAACATGCAGAGGCCATCTCTTCACCAATATGTTACCTGTTCTAGCATTCACTGGATTCACACCGTTTCCCAGCTGAATGGAAACCAGCTACTCTCTCTCCAGTCTTCAAAGGAGGCGATATAAAGGACCCAGCCTGTTACAGACCAGTCGCATTACTACCAATACTACCAAAGGTAATGAAAGGGCTGGTGAACGAACAAAGAGGGAGTACATGGATAAGAATAAAATAACTCACGCAGCTGAAAACGGTTTCGGAAAGGAGGGTCCTGAGCATCTAATATTCTCATAGCATGGGATAGTTGGACCTCCTACCAGTGCACATATTCCTAGACTTTGAAAAAGCCTTTGACATAGTCCATCACGTATGCCTGATCGCATAGGCTGCGGAAACGGGCTCCACTAACCCACTCCTATCTTGGCTCAGAAACTACCTTGGGAATAGAAAGTTTCGTACCATGGTAAGTAGAGTGCACGCGAGCTGGCGAATATCATCATCCGGAGTTTCGTAGGGGACCATCTTAGGTTCACTTCTCTTCCTGATACTTATCAGCGATCCGTTGGACATAGTTAGCTCACCGGAATCGATCAACGCAGACGATGCAAAGATCTGGAGATTCATAAAAAGTTATCAGGATTCGACTGAGCTTTAAAAGGACGTTACATCTACTGAGGACTTGGCAGTGGAAAACGGTTCAAAACTGAACAAGTCGTAATGTCACGTCGTGTTCATTATGCGCCTCATGATGAAAAAGATTAACACCCTCAACGGAAGTCCGCTCCCTAATGTCTCTTCACAGCGCGATCTCCATTTAAGAATCACTAGAAACCTCCACACCAGCTCCAGCTACTTGTCGGACTCTGCCAAGGCTAATGCAACTCTTCTCTTAATTCGAAGACAACTTCGTGCTATCACCCCTGAATTGTTTTTAACGGTGTTTAGGACATATGCACACCCACACCTTGAGGTTCACAACTTTGTCACATCGCCTTTCCTTAAAAGAGACATAAATCTCCTGGATCGAGTGCAGGCACGAGCAACGAAATCGCCGATAGGGTTCAAAGATGAAGCTCAGGAAGATCGACTTCAGCATTTTGGATTATCCCCCTTGAGTTACAGGAGGATCAGAGGTTATCTGACTATGACGTACAATATATTAAGCACGCCAAACTATCCTAACGTGTACACCTTACCGATACATCACCCCTGCACCCCTCGAGGTAATCCTCGAAAAATTGCACATCAAAGAGCGAATACTCAGGTTCGCGCACACTATTTCTCATCGCGAGTCGTCGCAACTTGGAATACGCTCCCAGCCGAGGTGCACCCAGATCCCTCAGTGGACAGTGGACTTGATAAACACGTACTCACATACCGAAAAACTGTACTTGATGCATGCCCTGAGACTTGCTAGTCGTTATTAATGCTATCTCCTCAGATCATTAACTTAATCTATCTCGCCTATTATCTCTGTTTCCATTCGCATGCTCACACTTCAGTCCCCTGTTACAATCTTCACTATCAATTATTAAAATAAATTATCCAGTTATTTACTTAGTTCTGAAATCTTCTTATTATTATCATTAGCATTTTCCCTTTATCATTCTCCATATTGCAACTAACTGATCTCCGTTCTGGTAATGTGATAGCTGTTGGTATCCAGAAACCCTACTGCTCTGAAACAAACGTACTCATTCATATTAGGGGATATACAAACTTACAACCAACTGCCAACTTACTAGAATTAGACAGTGCAGTGGCTAGACCCCTATTCATTAGACATTACCAGATACCTTGAATCACAGCGAAAGAACAAGAATCGAATGCAAAGATATCAACTGGAAAGTTGACTGGCCCCTTTTTACAGAACTTATTATTACAAAGAAAGGCTAAGAATCCTTAGCCAGTAATCTTAGAATATTGAATAAACTATTATAACTTAAGCACTATTATATAATACCAACGTTTTTTTTTCATCTACGATCTATCACCGTACAGAAAATTATCTAAGTTCAAATATTATACCTCTTACGGTTCATTTCATGCATCAACATGTTTTTCTCTCATGTTTACACAGACTGCATTCATACAGAATCATAACAACACAGTGACTTACATACCTCGTTTGATCTTCTATTCTTACCGTCAAAGACATAACAGTTTCACTATCTAAATAGATTAGACATTAGTTAATTCTTAATTTTATAACTGTGAGAAAAAAAATGTTGTTTTTCTACTATATTTCATCAAAGAGTTAGTTTATTTACAAAGTTCATTCAACAATACAGTCAATGATTTCAACATAAATATGTTTTTTTCAATTTGAAAAGTGCATAATTTTAAACTTGAAAAATTTGTTTATGATATGTTTAAAAGAAACATCTCACATTAGTACAGCACACATTGTCTATTAGTTCACAAAAACAAGAAAAATATTGTACAAACAATAATTTAATTCATTTGAAATTGAAAAGACTCTACAAACTTTTG